TGAGTTTATGGAGACAGAATAGCGTATTAAGGTTTGCAAAGACGATGGTCATTTTTGAACAGATGGTCTAATAATGCCTTGACTATAAAGGCATGTCTATGAATGTCACCGGATTCACCCAGAACGCAATTAACCAAGTTAACGGAGCATACTAAATGCTAAACCCTGTTTAGCAAAACACACATCACCCAGAAACGGAACTAACCATTATTTTGGATCTGCATTGTATGGCAGATGTATATAAACGCATCCCCATCAGCACACAACCCAATCAGAAAAATGAAAATCAGAAAAATGAAAATACTTTTCACCTTTTCCAAGGTGAAAAGTATGCAACTTTACCTGTTGTTAAGCCAGCCTCTCCTGGCTAAGGATGATTGGATTTGGAGTCCAAACATATAGAGAGCAGCAGGATACCAAATAACAAGAGTAACAAAATTGGATGGGACCTTGGAGGTCCTCTAGTCCAACCCCCTCCTGCTCAAGCAGGAGAACCTATATCATATATTTATACACCGAGAGAAAGAGAGAGGGGGAGAGAGAGAGAGAGAGAGAGAGAGAGAGAGAGAGAGAGAGAGAGAGAAAATATATACATATTATATGTATTATAAATCACCTTCTTTTAACAACCCCATAATCCAGTGGGGAAATCCAAATTTTTTTACTACCGGTTCTGTGGGCGTGGCTTGGTGGGCGTGACTTGGTGTGGCTTGGTGGGCATAGCAGGGAAGGATACTGCAAAATCCCCATTCCCACCCCACTCTGGGGCCAGCCAGAGGTGGTATTTGCCGGTTCTCCGAACTACTCAAAATTTCCGCTACGGTTCTCCAGAACCTGTCAGAACCTGCTGGATTTCACCCCTGCCATAATCTCTTGCTGGGTGGAGTCTGGGCAACTGAATGGAGTGTTTACTGGCCAGATGCCCTTCCTGTCACCAGTGCGGAGTTTTGTTCAGCAGAGATATTCTCATTGTGCCCAGAGAGAGAAATATCTGCCTCTACCTAGGATCGAACTGGCAGCTTCCCGATTAGGAGGCTCCACCTCTAGGCCACCGCACCACTCATATTATATGTATTTGATATATTCATATTTTACAATACAGGTAGTCCTCAACTTACAACAGTTTAGTTAGAGCCTGTTCGAAGTTACCACGGCACTAAAAAAAAGTGACTTATAACCATTTTTCACACATACGACTGTTACAGCATCACAGGAGGAAAAATTGATCACACAAAAAGAAAAAAACAGACAGTCCAGTTGCCTCCTGAAGGAAGAAAACCTCAGAGGCTCTTCAGACAACACAGCCATTATACCAGAATCTGGTTATAATAATAATAATTAATAATAATAATAATAATAATAATATAATAATAATAATAATAATAATATAATATAATATAATATAATATAATGTAATGTAATGTAATGTAATGTAATGTAATGTAATGTAATGTAATATAATATAATATAATATAATATAATATAATATAATATAATAATATAACCAGAATCTCTGCAGGGTTGTTTTTTTTTTTTTGGTTTTTTTTAAATTTGATTTATATGCCGCCCTTCTCCGGAGACTCAGGGCGGCTTACAATGCGTTAAGCAATAGCCTTCATCCTTTTATATATTTATACAAAGTCAGCTTATTGCCCCCACAAACTGGGTCCTCAATTTACCTACCTTAGAAAGGATGGAAGGCTGAGTCAACCTTGAGCCTTGGCGAGATTCGAACCTGCAGTAATTGCAGGCAGCTGGTCTTAATAACAGGGTGCTTTAGACCACTGTACTACCAAGGTGTCATCTTGTCTCCTTTTCATATTCAACCTAGAAAAATGTTTGTTTTCGCTTTACCCAGAATTCAAACGCTCTTCGTGAAGGGCTCGGCTTAATCCGAGGGTGTAAATTGCTGAGTAAATGAACAGCGCAGTCTCAATTAGGATTAATGTCATTAACAGGCAGAGCTCCAAAGATCCTGTCGGGCTCCTTTGTCACGGCGGACGCGGCGCGTGCAAACGATTGAATAACATATGTGCATGTTTAGCTTCGAAACCCGGTTGCTGGATCTCGGGAACTCAGAAGCAGACTTCAAACATCAGGGAGAAGAGTTCTCCTACCGGATTTTCCCAGGGTTTCTTAACTCGCAGGATTTGTTTTTTTCCCCCCGCCATGGATATGTGTACATTTGAACTAGACTGTGATGTTTCTCTGTGTAATGTACTTGTGTGTACGAAAGTTGCCAACTTTCGGTGAGCCCAAAAATCAGCTGGCCAGCGTGTGCATGAGCACCGGAGCTGAGCTCGCATGCCCACTGATATGGCTACGCGTGCCACTTGTGGGACTGGAAGTTGGCAAACGGGGTGCTTCTGGCCTCCGGGGGGGAGGAGGACATTTTTGCCCTCCCCAGACTCCTAGAAAGGCTCTGGAGGCTGGGGACAGCAAAAAATGGGCCTTCCAGTCCCATCGGAAGTTGGCATACGGGCTGTTTCTGGCCTCCGGGAGGGTGGGGAAGGCTGTTTTCGCCCTCCCCAGACTCCTAGAAAGGGTCTGGAGCCAGGTGAGAGAGAAAAACAGGCCTATGGGCCATTGCGTGCCAGGAGCGTGGGGGCAGGGCACATAGAATTATGGGTGTGGGCATGCACGTGACACACACACACCCCCCGCATCCCCAGCACGCGATTGGCAAAAAGGTTAGCCATCATTGCACTAGACCAAACGGCCGTGTGCCACCGCAAAACCTGTGCTATTTTGTTCGCAGGATCCTTCTCTCTTCTCTGGCTGCTTATACATGAAATTAGGTCAGGCTATTCTTCTTCTTTGAATCTTTTTTCTTCTCAGAAGCCCACAGACATCGCTCTCGCCTCTCCCCGTTGTTCCCCAGCATCCAAAAAAAAATAAAATAACATCCCCCCCCCACACACACACAAGTGAATTTTTGGCTTTGGTTTGCTTGCGTTCAAAATCTTCAATCTCTCCGGCAAAGGAGGGGAAGTCCAGCTGTTCACTTTGGATGAATTGAATTCCCCAGGTGAGCAGATTGTGCATCCGAGATCCCTCTCTCTTTCCCCACCCCCCAAAAAAACAAACCTAAGTGGAATGGTAAGAGGAGTCAGAAAAGACAGCCGACACACAAGAAGGTAAACACCAGTTATCGGCGGCGCATTCGTTCAATGACCCACATGGAAATCGGGAGTCTGGGATTTGCGTGGTACAGCAGCGCAAACAAGACCGGGAGCTGCTAGTGTTTTTCTGTGTCCGAGGCTTTCATGGCTCATTAAAGTGCAAATATTAGAAGAACCATTTACGACATTTTTGCTGGCTCATGAAAATCTTGCCATCTCCTGCCTTGCCCTGAAGCTTGGAAGGATGAGACAGGAGAAGGGGGGAAAAAATGGAGGAATGGAAGAGGCATTGTGCATTTTCTGGGAAGAAGAATGTCAAGAGTATATTCATTAACTGGAATAGGACATGGTAACAAAGTCAGTCAATTGAGGGCTATTTGGGAGCTGAGAAAGACAGGAGCCAGGGCGTGTCTTAGTCTGCAGCTTCTGAGTCTGTGCAGAGAAAAATGAAACTAGTCTCTCTGTACTGTGTGTGTGTGAACTTGTCTGCTGATCTGAACTGAAACTGTTCTCCGCTGTTGGTATTGTATGTACTGTATATATATATATTGGTATATATGTTTTCGTAGATTTTCACAGGTTGAGGTATGCAAGTTTTGGTGTATTTGGGTCTTTTCCCGTGTAAGATTGAGAGCATCTTGGCGACGTTTTAATGAGGTCCCACTCGTCATCTTCAGGCTGGTGTTTTCAGCTTCGTGCTCTTTTCCTCGCACAAGCACGAAGCCGAAGACACCAGCCTGAAGATGACGAGTGGGACCTCATTAAAACGTCGCCAAGATGCTCTCAATTTTACATGGGAAAAGATCTGAATACACCAAAACTTGCATTGGTATGTATGTGTCTGTGTGTTAGAAGCAGACATCCTGCAAGCTCCGGAACTTAAATTTTTTTAAATTTTAAAATAATTAAAATTTTATTTTACTAAGCTTTCGTCAGCCATCTGTTGACATCATCAGAGTATTAAACTACCATTAACCTCAATGACAGAAATTTAGGGCTCAACTGTGGTCGTACGTCGAGGACTACCTGTAACTTGGAAAATTATATATTTCTCATACAAACATCTCCACGGCAGTATTTTTTTTTTTTTAAATGCTATTCCGAAACCTCCCATGGCTGCCACTGAAGCCTTTTGATAAGAGGCGGGTGGGCGGATGAATGGATGGAGACAAAGAGAGCCAGAGGACACAGGACAGAAAGTAAGGCGGTGTTTGAACTCAGCGGGAGTTTCGAAGAGCCAATGATGAGGACATTACATGATCCGGGTTTAAACGGGGTCACATTGATGTGGCTAAACCTGTCCCTATCATCATCCTTTTCAGCCATCGTTCCTTTCTGCTTCCTCCGTTTATGTGATGCTTTTTCCCCACTGAATAAAAGGCATAAATTTGGTCGATGAATTCCATCAAAATGGGGAAGAGATTTAAAAGGGCAGTAGGAAGAGCAGCCGTGTCAGGGAAGTGGGCCAGGGTGCAATTGAAACAAGACACTGGACCAATCAATCCATCTTCAGAACTGCCAATCTCTTAGATCAGGGGTGCCCATCCTTGGCAACGATAAGATCTGTGGACCTCAACTCCCAGAATTCCCCAGCCAGCACAGCTGAGAGTTTGAAACCCAAAAGTCTTATAGTTGCCAAGGATGGACAACCCTGCCTTCGATTATTACAGGTAGTTCTCAACTTACGACCACAATTGTGGCCAAGCATGACACTTGCTAAGTGAGTTTTATGTGACCCCATTTTTATGGCCTTTCTTGCCACTGCAGCATGTTTCATGCGCAATGTGCGTGCACACTCAAAAAGGCAGAAAGAGAGACACAGGAAGAGACCACAAACCATTTTTTTTTCCCCTTAAAAAGAAAAAGATAACCGCCGGGCAGCTTGAAAAATAGCGGAGACTTTAATAAAAAGAGAGAATGTCTCGCAGAAGTATTATACAAACATTACATTTCAAAACGACCGAAGTTCAAAGGGCTGAGAAGCCGAAGAGAAATGGATCGTATGCAAAGATCCTCCCTGTAGTTAGAATGGCATGTATAACCCCGCCTGATAAGATAGATATACTGTATATATATATATATATATATTTTCAGGCAGTATGAAGCCATTACAGTATTGTGCTCAGTTTACTTTTGAAAAAGCAGGATTTCCAACCGTCGACGTTGAATAGAAAAAAAAAATTGTATAAAAGACATGCTATCAAAATGTTTTAAAATCCCAGAGGGCAGGAAGACGGCCTCTGAGGGATGGGATTCACTTTAGGGCAGGCGGGCAGGGTGTCCGACTTTTGAAGATCTGTGGATCTTCAAATTCTGGGAATTCAACTCCCAGAATTCCCCAGACAGCTATGTTGGGAGTTGAAGTCTACCAGTCTTTAAAAGTTGCCAACGTTGGACGTCCCTACGTTAGGACTTTAAAACTCCATCCGCCCATTTAAAATTCCCTCGATCCTCATTTACCAATCTCCCGAAATTAAAACGACAGGCCTTAAAATGTGATTCTTTTGGGGAGGGAGGATACGCCAAGCCTGAATTCCCCAACCCAGGGATGAAATTTGACCATCTCGGACCAGTTCAGGCGAACTGGTAGGGGACAATTTGAATCGGTTCGCCGAACCAGTAAAAACCACTCATGGTTGGCCCCGCTCATGCCCACCTGGTCACCGCTCACTCCTTCCAGTGGCTCGCTCACCCCTTTCAGCCGCTCAACCAGCCCACCCAGTCAGGCCCTATAGGGTGAGATTGTTCTCGCTCCATTCACAGTGGAGGCGCTGCTCCTTTTATGGTCCCCCCAGGCTCCCTCCCTCCCGGGGACTACCTTAAAGGGACAGGCTGCAGCAGCTCCGCTGTGAATGGAGCGAGAGAAGTTCGGCTTCCCTCTGCCACAGCATTCACTATGAGCCCTTCTCGTGCTCATAGACACATTTTTTTCCTACCGGATTCTGTGGGCATTGGTTGGTGGGGGGCGGTCGTGTGACTGAGTGGCCGTAAGTGACATCAAGTTGGCCATGCCCACTCAGTCACAGGACCCACCATCACCAAGCCATGCCCACAGAACCAGTAGGGGGAAAAAATTGCATGTCACCACTGCCCCAACCAATCTCCTGTGCTTGGATTCCAGGATCAAGGAAAACCCCTTCGAAGTCCACTGGAATCCCGCTGAAACTGAGAATCTTTGCAAGCCCTTAAATTCTGCTTTGTGGAAGCAGAGACTTTCCAGGAGAGCTCGCAAACTCCAAACATGTTGTGGGCGGTCAAGAAAGGAACTTTGCTCTGTGCCTCAAACAGAAAAGCCGTATTCTCAGACCCGGAGGAAGAGGTGCCGAGAGAAGGAATTAAAAAAATACGGAATCCGGCCTCCTGCAGGAGGAGCATCATCCGAGTCACAACCCATACAAAACACGGAGCGAAAAAGAGAGAAAAAGGGGGAAGAAAGCTAAAATTATTGACTCTAAAGAGATTATAAAGATCTACAAGGATTCACGCTGAAACTTTTCCAGCAACTGAAGGCCTCGAGTCGCCGCACCCGTCGAGGGAAGCCGCTCTTGCGACTCTTGGCTCGGAAGAAGCAATGCAACTCGGTTTATGGCTGCACCTCCCATAGAAAAAGGCTGTCCCAGGAGCAACGTCTTCTCCTAGAGTTCTTCGAAGAAGGCCACCCGGGACTTGGTGCTCTGTAAGGTGAGCTGAGAAGACAAAAAAGAAAACGTGGTTAGTTAGGAGCCAAAGGTGGCTTGCCTCGGCATCTTTGCCCAAGGATGGCTTCCATTGTGGCTCATTCGGGCATTCGAGAACGAGAAGGAAAAAGTCCAGCTGAGAAGTTCACTCGTAAACTGTAGTTTATGGAGAAATGTGCCCTCAGCCAAAAACAGGCCGTGGATAGAACGTAAGAGAGGTCCTTGGTGCTCTCTGAGCTTGGTTGTTTTCTTCCAGATGTTTCATGACCCAGCTAGGTAACATCATCAGTGCTAGGAGGACTGTGGGGGTCTCTGAGCTTGGTTGTTTTCTTGCAGAAATTTCATGACCCAAACTAGGTAGCCTCATCAGCGCTAGAAGAGAATGGGGTTCAAGGAAAGGAGGAGAAGGAAAGGGAAGGAGGAGGAGGAGGAGATGGTGAGTTCTAGTCCCGCCTTAGACATGAAAGACAGCTGGGGGACTTTGAGCCAATCACCAGGAGACTGTGAATTCTAGTTCTATCGGTACTATAGGCATGAAAGCTGGCTGGGTGACTTTGGGCCACTCACCAGGAGACTGTGAGTTCTAGTCTCTCCTTAGGCATGAAAGCCAACTGGGTGACTTTGGGCCACTCACCAGGAGATGGCGAATTCTAGTCCTGCCTTAGGCATGAAAACTGGCTGGGTGACTTTGAGCCAGTCGTTCTCTCTCAGCCCAACTCCTCCTCACAGGGTTGTCGTGGTGGGGAAAAGAGGAGGAAGGAGACTTATGTAGGTTTCCCGCCCTGAAGTACTCATACAGTAAAGCAAGAAAGGTGGGATAAAAATCAGATCCATAAATAAATAGGCGTCCCTGTCAAGAATGAAGAGCAAGCGGAGAGACCCCCTCCCCAGCATAGACCCAGTGGGGCGTTTCTTTAAAACAAGGCCTCGTTCTCCCACCATACATACATACACACACCCCTCAAAGCTCAAGGGATAGATGGCTGCGCCCCCCCTCAAGCTCACCGAGCGCATTCCAGCCTCTGCAAAGCTATTTGAGATCCTCCAGCCAGCCAGATAACAGCCCACTCAACCCCCCCCCACCCACCCTCCAGTTTTCTTTCTCCTTTTCTGTTGGCCGGGCTCCCCCACCTCCTCTCCCTGTCTAAAAAGACAATGAATCATCCCTGGATGGACAATTCGCTGAAATATTTATGGTTACCGAACCCTGGAGGGACAGGATTGAACGCCAGAGCTCCGAGCTGCAAAAGCTCACCGGGGAGCCAAACCAGACAACTCATTTTCATTCGGTCATCCTTGTGTGGACGGACACACACAGTCCTTGACAGGAGAGGAAAAAGGAAGAGGGGTTTTGACTGGCCCCTTGAAAAATGAACAGCTGCCAATACTAAGCGGGGGTCTATTTTTCTTGGGAGTTGCATAATACAATGGTCCATAAACTACCCAACCGCTTTGAGGACAGGAGAGGCTAAGCTACCCCCCAAAACAATAAAAAGTCAAAAAGCAATCAAACTGCAAATACAGCTCCTTGGTCTTTTACTGATTAAGGAGCCGCCGGAGACGAAAACCTGCAAAGAACGTTTGCAGGAATGAAAAGAAAGACCAGACATGATAGCAGTGTAACATTGTATTGCTAACTAGGGCATACAAAACCTTTGCCAGACCAATTCTCGAATACAGCTTGTCTGCCTGGAATCCACACTGTATATCAGACATTAATACGTTTAACCGGGTACTTCTGGATTAGCACGAGAAGAGTAATTCACTCCTCTATTCACAATAGAATCCCTTATGCCACCAGGCTTGAAATTTTTGGCCTTGGACAATCCGAAACTACGTGCCTGCGGTCTGATCTACGCATAAAGGTAAAGATTCCCCTCGCGCATATGTGCTACTCGTTCCCGACTCTAGGGGACGGTGCTCAACTCCGTTTCAAAGCCGAAGAGCCAGCGCTGTCCGAAGACGTCTCCGTGGTCATGTGGCCGGCATGACTCAACACCAAAGGCGCACGGAACCCTGTTCCCTTCCCAACCAAAGGTGGCCCCTATTTTTTCTGCTTGCATTTTTTAACGTGCTTTCGAACTGCTAGGTTGTCAGAAGCTGGGACACGTAACGGGAGCTCACCCCGTTATGCGGCACTAGGGATTCGAACAGCTGAACTGCCAACCTTTCGATCGACAAGCTCAGCCTCTTAGCCACTGAGCCTCCATGTCCCTTTGATCTAAGCACAGTACACAAAATTGTCTGCTACAACGTCCTACCTGTCAACGACTTCTTCAGCTTCAACCTCAACAATACAGAGGCAAACAATCGAAACAAACTCAAGGTAAACCGCTCGATTGCAGGAAATACGACTTCAGCAACAGAGCGGTCAACGCCTGGAATGCTCTACCCAACTCCATTGTTACATCCTCAAATCCCCACAGCTTCAACCTTAAACTGTCTACCGTGGACCTCATCCCATTCCTAAGAGGTCCGTAAAGGGGGCGTGCATAAGCGCACCAGCGTGCCTTCCGTCCCTGTCCTACTGTCCCCATTTACTGGTACTCATTTCCTATGTTCACGTCCATGTTTCTACTTATACCTGTTTTCTTGTACATGTTTGACAAACTAAATAAAACGAAATTAAAAAATAGAACTAAGGAGAAATTTCCTGACAGGGAGAATAATTAATAAGTGGAACAACTTGGGTTCCAGAAGTTGTGGATGCCCCAACACTGTTCATCCCTTCGGTCTGCCGCGAGAAAATTCCTACGCTGATCCAAACCCTGCCAGAGAAGCCGAATTCTCCCGTCTCTATAAATTATGGATATAATTATAAATAAATTTGCATGATTTCTCCGGCTTTGCATAATTCAGCCTTGCTTTTAATTTTATCCCAGCAGTTTGTTAAAAAGCAATAAGGTTCCGCAGCGCCAAGGCCCATAAAGCATGTGGCTTTTGCTAGGTGTGAAGTGAGGAAATTACCCAAAACACAGAATATGCCTGTGTCTCCCACCATCACCAATTGGGGAAAAAAAAAAAATCTGTTGTGAAGATTTCGGCACGCACAACCTGCGCTATGCTATAAATGTGACTTTAGATAAGGGAAAGAAAGAAAGAAAGAAAGAAAGAAAGAAAGAAAGAAAAGAAAGAAAGAAAAGAAAGAAAGAAAAGAAAGAAAGAAAGAAAGAAAGAAAAGAAAAAAAGAAAGAATGAAAGAAAGAAAGAAAAAAGAAAGAAAGAAAGAAAGAAAGAAAGAAAGAAAAAGAAAGAAAGAAAGAAAAAAAAGAAAAGAAAGAAAGAAAAGAAAGAGAAAGAAAGAAAAAAAGAAAGAAAGAAAAAAAAAGAAAAGAAGGTTGTGAGTGGTCAGCAGCATTCCAGATTTTCCCACAAATTGGAGAAAAGCTTCCCCATATCTTATGATGAATGATTGTAACCAGTGGTGGGTTGCTACCGTTTCGCCCCGGATTGGGCAAACTGGTAGTGGCGGGAGGCTCCGCCCACCCACCTGGACACTTCTATCCACGAGCAAACCAGTAGCTACAGGTTTTGAAACCTGCCCGATTGTAACTATGAATTATGGTCTATAATCTAGCTATCACTTTGTCATTTGTATGTACAACGGAGAGTTTATGCCCCGGAGACAAATTCCTTGGGTGTCCAATCACACACTTAGTGGCCAATAAAAGGGAAAGAAAGAAAGAAAGAAAGAAAGAAAGAAAGAAAGAAAGAAAAAAAAAAAAAGAAAGAAAGAAAAGAAAGAAAGAAAAGAAAGAAAGAAAGAAAGAAAAAGAAAGAAAGAGGGACAGAGAGAGGGGAAGGAAGGAAGGAGAAGGAAGGAAGAAGGAAGGAAGGAAAAGAAAGAAAGAAAGAAAAAAGAAAGAAAGAAAGAAAGAAAGAAGGAAGAAGAAGAAGGAAGGAAGGAAGGAAGGAAGGAAGGAAGGAAGAAAGAAAGAAAGAAAAGAAAGAAAGAAAGAAAGAAAGAAAAAAGAAAGAAAGAAAGAAGAAAAAAAAAAGAAAGAGAAGGGAGAGAGGGAGAAGGGAGGAGAGGAGAGGAGAGAAGAAAGAGAGAGAGGAGATAAAGAGTGATGAGAGAGAGAGAACAAGGGAGAAACAGAAACAGAAAGATAGAGGAAGAGAGAGAGGAGATAAAGAGTGATGAGAGGGAGAGACAAAGAGAAAGAGAGACAAAGAAAAAGAGAGAGACGAGAGAGGGAAGAGAAAAAGAAGAAAGAGAAAGAGAGGAGAGAAAGAGATGAAAGAAAGAAAGAAGAAGTGAGAAAGAGAGAAACAGCAAGAGAGAGTAAGGGGAGAGAGAGAGTAGAGAGAAAGAAGAAAAGAGAGAGAGAGGAGATAGAGAGAGACAGACAGAGACAGAGAGAGACAGAGACAGAGAGAAGGCAGATGGTGATAATTAAACAGTCAGACCACAAAGGAGATCTGGAGGCGAGGAAGACAGACAAGGAAGGATCCTCCTTCTGCCAGATGTTCTGCATTCTTCCCATGAACTAGAAGATGGTTATTAGATTTTTTTTTCCCCCTTCACTACCTGCAAACTCCATTGCAGCCAAATCAGTTTTGCAGCTGCTAACTCAATAACTAGAAGCGAGGAACTTCTGCCGCCTTCGCAAACTCTTGTAGAATTGAAATGCGACCTGCTAAATGGATTTTTTTTTTCCCCCCCTGTTCCTTTCCCAATAAGGCTGGCGCTGGGTTTAAAAACAGGAGGAGGAAAAGCCCGCATTCTGAGGTTGGAATCCCTGCAGCTGTTTGGCAGCCAGAAATTCCCAAGGGGGTCTTGAACCGCAAAACGGAGTGAAGGGAAGGATGTGCCCGTTGAGGGTGTGTGTTGCGCTTGTGTGTCTGGATTTGGGAGGAGGAAAATGCTTTTGCCGGACAATCAGTAAAAGTGGACTGCACAGCTACTTCTCTGGGATGGTATAGAGCAGGGGTCCCCAACCTTTCGGACCTCAGGGACCACTAAATTCATAATTTTAAATCCCGCGGACCATGGTTAATTGTTCCTGGCAGAATGGCTTGCCTCCTGAAGCTGTGGGTGCTTCTCAGCCTAGACAACCTCAAGAGTTTGTGGGGGGCAATAAGCTGACTTTGTATAAAATATACAAAAGTATGAAGGCTGTTGCTTAACGCATTGTAAGCCGCCCTGATCTCCGGAGAAGGGCAGCAATAAAAAATAAAATAAATAAATTTAAAAAAAATTTAAAAAAAAGAGGTGCATGCTGCAATCATGTTTAGGGGGTACCCCGAAATCAGAGGCCAGGAAAAAGGTTCGTGTGCAAAAAAAACAACCCCCAAACCCCAGATGAGATTGAAGCCAGAACAATCAGCCTGCTCGGAAAGTTCAGCCGGTTGAAATTAGTGCAGCCGGCAGGGTAGCCGACGAGAGAAATCATTTTTAAGAAGAGATACCTGCGATGAACCCACAGAGCTCATAAAAAGGGATTAGCATGTTAACCACATCATTAAACATGAAGGATTTTCAAAGGAGCCTCCCAAGGCAGAGATGAAAATTCAAAGGACACAATGACACAAGCTGGTCTGTCTTGTGTCTTGCAGGGCTGACGTTTTGGGGTCCAGCGATCTTCAGGACCAGCGGACCAAGAGGATTCTGCCGTGGGCCTCAAAAAAAAAAAAAAATTCCACAGAGGGAAACCCTTGGAGGGGAGATTAAGCATCAGAGCTGATTCTGTTTCTCCTTGGGATTTCCCTGGAGGGAGGAAAACAGGATATTGGAAATATATGAGCAGTTTGAGTCTCACCAGGCTCAAGGTTGACTCAGCCTTCCGTCCTTCCTTCCGAGGTGGGTAAGATGAGGACCCAGGATTGTTGGGGGCAGGAGGCTGACTCTGTAAACCGCTTAGAGAGGAGCTGTAAAGTCTAAGGGCTATTGCTATTGCTCCTTCCTTCCTTCCTTCCTTCCTTCCTTCCTTCCTTCCTTCCTTCCTTTCCTTCCTTCCTCCTTCTCTTCCTTCCTCCCCCCCTCCTTATTTAAAAGTCAGTATTGCAGACTACTCTGCCGACTGTCAGGAGTTCAATCCTAACCGGCTCAAGGTTTACTCAGCCTTCCATCCTTCCGAGGTGGGTAAAATGAGGACCCAGATTGTTGGGGCAAGAGGCTGACTCTGTAAACCGCTTAGAGAGGGTTGTAAAAGCACTGTGAAGCGGCATATAAGTCTAAATGCTATTGCCCTTCCTTCCTTCCTTCCTTCCTTCCTTCCTTCCTTCCTTCCTTCCCTTCCTTCCCTTCCCTTCCTTCCCTCCCCTTCCCTTCCCTTCCCTTCCTCCCTGTGTTTAAAAGTCAGTATTGCAGACTTACTCTGCCGACTGTCAGGAGTTCGATCCTAACCGGCTCAAGGTTGACTCAGCCTTCCATCCTTCCGAGGTTGGTAAAATGAGGACCCAGATTGTTGGGGGGCAAGAGGCTGACTCTGTAAACTGCTTAGAGAGGGCTGGAAAGCACTGTGAAGCGGTCTATAAACTACCTATTGCTATTGCTCTTCCTTTTCTCCCTTCCTTCCCTTCTTCCTTCCTTTCTTTCCTTCTTTCCTCCTTTCTCATGCTCGTTCCTTCTCTTTTTCTTTCTCTTTCCTTCCTTGTTAAACTGCAGTATTGCAGGCTAATTCTGCCCAGTTGCCAGGAGTTCGATCCTAACCGGCTCAATAAATAAATTTCAATAAATCAAATAAATTTCAGGCTCCATTGCGTTAAGTCGAGGGCTACCTGCCCAAATAAAAACCCATCTCACAAAGCCCTATTAACTTCCTTAATCCCTTGCCTGGAAAACGGCAACATTTTAAAGGTTTTACCGAACGCCAGAGACATCAGGGTCAGTCAAATCAGTGTAAGATAGAGAGAGGGGTTTTAAGGGGCCTGCGCTGGAAAAATTCGTAAAACCTTCAAAGCATGACGGTTAAAAACTCCTTCCACTCCAAATACAGTTTTTCAGAGTTTATATGCGATCCTCTAGGCTCAATGATCTCCCTGGGTTAATTGTTACCTGAGCTGATAGTTAGAAGAGAACTGAAAATGTGAAAATCAAGTCTCGCTGTTTGTTTTTCTGGATCTGGTTTTTTTCCAAACAAGATTAGCATGACAAGTGGGGGTGCATTTTCCCCCCCCTCTTCTATCTCAAAGAACAGAGCGGCTTCAGGCCATCTACAATTTCCACTATTTAATCGTGTAGCTCGGAGGTTACAGCTAAAGGTCCGTGCAGATTTCCATAAAGTACTCCAAACTCATTACCGATGCTGATTTTAGTGTCAAGAGAGAGAGAGAGAGAGAAGAAAATCTTTTACGGCTAATACAATAGGTTCTCTCCCCCCCCCCTCGATGGAGAACTTCCGCGGCTTCCACTGAGATGCATATTGAATTTTGTTTTTAAAAAATGGGGTCCTTGGGTCCTGGTAGCTTAATCAGTGCAACGCAGAGCAGAAATTAATATCTAGGAGAAGGGAGGGGGTGGGGGGAAGGGATTTGATGCGGTTTTGAGGACGCTGGAATCTAAACCAGCTTTATATGGGTTGCCGAAACCGAAACAAAAGGGACTCTAAACAAAGCAAAATATTAAAATTAACGCAGGGAAGCTAACTTCTGCAGCCTTTCATCTTTATGAAAGTTTTGCAGAAGCATGGGGTGTGTGTGTATGTGGGAGAGAGAGAGAGAGAGAGAGAGAGAGAGAGAGAGAGAGAAGAGAAAGAGGAATCGGAAGGAAGGAAGGAAGGAAGGAAGGAAGGAAGGAAGGAGGGAGGGAGGGAGGGAGGGAAGGAGGAAGGAGGAAGGAAGGAAGGAGGAGGAAGGAGGAAGAAAGGAAGAAAAAAGGAAGAAGGAAGAAAGAAAGAAAGAAAGAGAAAGGAAGGATTCGAACCACCGAATTGCCAGTCTTTCTGATAGACAAGCTCAGCGTTTTAGCCACTGAGCCACCTAGCCAGGAGGGAGGGAGGGAGGGAAGGAAGGTGGGAGAAAAAAGAAAGAAGGAAGAAGGAAAGAAAGAAAGAGAAAGGAAGGAGGAAGGAAGGAAGGAAGGAAGGAGGAAGGAAGAAAGGGAGGAAGAAAAAAGAAAGAAGGAAGAAAAGAAAGAAAGAAAGAGAAAGGAAGGATTCGAACCACCGAATTGCCAGTCTTTCTGATAGACAAGCTCAGCGTTTTAGCCACTGAGCCACCTAGCTGAAAAGGAAGGAAGGAAGGAAGGAGAAAAAAGAAAGAAGAAAAGGAAAGAAAGAAAGAGAAAGGAAGGAAGGAAGGAAGGAAGAAGGAAAGGAGGAAGGAAGAAGAAAAAGAAAGAAGAAAGAAAGAAGGAAAGAAAGAGAAAGGAAGGAAGGATGAAAGGAAGGAAGGAAGGACATTGACTTATATACCGCTTCCCAGTGCTTTACAGCCCTCTTCTTAGCGGTTTACAGAGTCAGCATATCACCCCCAACAATCTGGCTCCTCATTTTACTCGGAAGGATGGAAGGCTGAGTCAACTTTGAGCCGGTCAGGATCGAACTGCTGGCAGTGGGCAGAGTCAGCCCTGCAATACTGCGCCTTCTAACCAACGTGCCACCCACTTCTTAACTCCCATCATCCCATCACATCACTTTGAGAACCGGCAAAAAAAGAAGCGTGTGAGATGTCCATGGTTTTGGGATGACGGGGAGCGTCGTGCGCACACGCACACACAAACGCAGTGTGGCCTCTGGAATTGTTGCTTGGCTGCACTCAGCATCCGCAAGCTGCCTCCATCCTTATTGCCAATGCCCAGGCGCCCTTCAGACAAGACACTGTCGGTGCGGCACCAAAACCAGGACGGAGAAGTTCTCTCCAGCTTTTGAGATACTGTTCTGCCCCAGCTACGGACCCCAAAGAACGCAGCACACACAAAACTTAATTTACTAAAATAACTCAGTCTTTTTCAAACAAAGGCTGTTAATTAACTTTCTTAACAGCCTAAAGAAACCAAAGAATAAATAATCGTAATCTTACTAGGGTTGGCAGAAAGCCCAGAAGCAATTTGCAGAGAACTAAGATCAGGAGGCGAAGGAGAGTGAACGAAGTTGTTCCCTGCAAAGTGCTTCAGTCGGCGTTCCTCCTTAAATAGGCTAAGGGAGTGGCCAATTAGCCCCAAGCCTTACTCTTGAGGAAACCGCCTCCTGATGAGCCACTCCTGCCTTTTGGCAGCTCTGCGCGACCGTGCATCGAGAAGAAGCTCCTCCTCTTCTTCCTCTTCACTTATGGAGCTTCTGCTTCTGAAGGGCTGAACTCTCCCTGGAGCCCCGCTCTCCCCCAGCCTCCTCCACTCCACTTCGTCTCCAGCCTCACTTCCGAGAGTGCCAGCTGCACAGGCTGCTGGCGCAGCATCACACCAGCCTCCTCGCTGTCGGAATCAGCTACAATCTGCACAGGCCGCTGACGAGCCACAACAGATGCCAAAGAAAGTCCTATGGACCAACTGTCCACCGGAGTGGCTCAGCCTTTACACACACACACACACACACACACACACACACACGGACACGCAACCTTGTGTGGAGCAAGACGGAAAAGCTGGTGCAGTAGTAGCAAGGTCTGTCACAGGCAAGGTCATGCAGACGTTAGTAGTGGGGGAAGAGACACCCATCCCGACACCAAACATAAAGTACCTTGGAATAAGCTACTTGAGAAGTCTCAAATGCAGATAGGTCTTCTGCCTTGCGCTTGAGGCTAAAACCGGCAAACGATAAGAAACAGAAAAGTCCTCCGTGAATTCGAGAGAGCGTCCATGTCCTCGCTACGGTTTTTTTGTGCATAATAATAACAGTAACAAGAGCCGGGAAGGGACCTGGGAGGTCATCTAGTCCAACCCCCATGCTCACGCAGGAGGCCTGTGCTAGGGATTCGAACCGCCGGAACTGCCGACCTTTCTGATCGACAAGCTCAGCGTCTTAGTCACTTGAGCCACCTAATCAGGCAGGACACTGAGAGACGCTGGGGGGCGGGGTTTCTTTGGATTCAGCGGTGGATGGGCGGGGCCATAACATTTTATTGACAGGTTCCTCCAGATAAAAGATATGTTTTTAAGCACAGATAGAAGAAACCAAACATCTTCGAGAGCCAGTTTACGGACTACATAGCAGTGTCTACACAGAGATTGTTTGGTCTAGTGGTGAAAGCCACCAGGCTAGAAAGAGGAGGTAGTGAGTTCAAGTCTTGCCTCAGGCCTGAAAGCCAGTTGGCTGACTTGGGGGAAAATCACCAGGAGGGAGGGAGTTCTAGTCCTGCCTTAAGCATGAAAGCCATGTGGGTGACTTTGGGCCAATCACCAGGAGACGGTGAGTTCTAGTCCTGCCTTAAGCATGAAAGCCAGCTGGGTGAGTTTGGGCCAATCACCAGGAGACGGTGAGTTCTAGTCCTGCCTTAGGCATGAAAGCCAGCTGGATGAGTTTGGGCCAATCACCAGGAGAATGGAGTTCTAGTCCTGCCTTAGGCATGACAGCCGGCTGGGTCATTTTTGGGCCAATCACCAGGAGACTGGGAGTTCTAGTCCTGCCTTAAGCATGAAAGCCAGCTGGTGAGTTTGGGCCAATCACCAGGAGAATGGGAGTTCTAGTCCTGCCTTAGGCATGACAGCCGGCTGGGTCATTTTTGGGCCAATCACCAGGAGACAGGGAGTTCTAGTCCTGCCTTAGGCATGAAAGCCGGCTGGGTCATTTTTGGGCCAATCACCAGGAGACAGGGAGTTCTAGTCCTGCCTTAGGCATGAAAGCCAGCTGGGTGAGTTTGGGCTGATCACTAGGCTACCGTGAGTTCTAGTCCCCACCTTAGGCAGGAAAAACAGTTGGGTACCTTTGAACAAGAGACTTTTTCTCGGTCCAACTCACCTCCCAAGGTTGTTATTGTGGGGGGGAAAATCAGAAGAAGAGGAAGGTGTGTTGGATACATTTGCTCCTTGGAGGAGTTTTGTTTTTGTTTTTTTTTGTAAAATTAATAAAGACCGGCTACAAATAAAAAATAAAATAAAATCTAGCTAACCACTGGGGGGAAGCCCGGGGCTGAAATCCGCAGTGCAGCCTGGTTTGTGAGAAGGGAAGAACGTGCGACGGAGACCATGGCTTCTCACAAACTGGGTTTCATTAGGAAAGATGGCGTCGGTCGGTGTGGTTTTTACGAGTGAAATAAGTGCCTTAAGGTCAGCCAGCTTTGCGATGCCCCCCTTGTCACCTACGAGCTGTTGGAGAAGATCCACTTTTGATAAAGGTGGGACGTTACTTGCATTGTTTGAAGCCTCCTCTCTTCCTTCGTCCCTTTGGCCCAAAGTGCATCCTGTGCTTAAGACTCTTAAGCCTGAAGAGCAGGGAAAAGTCTCACTGCTAATATGCTTCCTGAGCTCTTCGGCGCAAACATCGCAGTTTAAAAATACTTTTAAATCCAATACAGAAATTAACTCCTCGGTCTCCAACAGGAGGATCTTACTGCCCCAACCGAAGGTGACAGCGAGGTGATCTCTGCCTTGGTAACATTATTTTCTTAAAAGAAAGAAAATCAATATTCTCTTTGTGTGTCTTTTTCTCTCTGTGTCTTTCTCTCGAATCTATCACTTCTTCCCTTCCTCTCTCTCTCACTTTCTGTCTTTCTCTCCTATCTATCACTTCTTCCTCCCCTCTCTTTCTTTCTCTCCTATCTATCACTTCTTCCTCTCTCCTCTCTTTCTTCCTCGCCTATCTATCTCTTCTATCTGTCTCATCTCTTTCTCTTTCTGTTTTCTCTCGTTTTCTTCTATTTGTCTGTCTCATCTCTTTCTGTCTCTCTCCTATTTCTTCTATCTCTCTCATCTGTTTTTTTCTGTCTCTTTATCTCTTCTATCTCTGTCTCATCTCTTTCTTTCTTTCTTTGTCTTTCTCACCTATCACTTCTTCCTCTTCTATCTCTCTCTGTATTTCTTTTTCTATCTCTTCTGTCTCATCTCTCTCTCTGTATTTCTCTCCTATCACTTCTTCCTCTCCTATCTCTCTCTGTATTTCTTTTTCTATCTCTTCTGTCTCATCTCTCTCATCTCTCTCTCTGTATTTCTCTCCTATCACTTCTTCCTCTTCTATCTCTCTCTGTATTTCTTTTTCTATCTCTTCTGCTCATCTCTCTCATCTCTCTCTGTATTTCTCTCCTACCACTTCTTCCTCTTCTATCTCTCTCTCTGTACTTCTCTCTCTTTCTCTGCCTCAACACTCACTCTCTCTGTCTTTCTCTCCTATCTATTTCTTCTATCTGTCTCATCTCTTCTATCTCTGTCTCCTCTCTCTTTCTCTCCCTTTCTTTCTGTCTTTCTCCATCTATCTCTTCTGTTTCACACTCACAAACACACAAAGCCTACTTATACACGTATACATGCAAATTAAAAGGCAGAAGCAAAATTGGCATATATATCTTCCTTCATATTTGCATGACAACACCGTCTGTTAATATTCCCCACTCTGGCAAATAAAACACCCAGTGCCCTTTCCTTTGCAGGGGTCATCCGGCATTAATTGCAATAAAAATCAGATGAAAATCCTCTGTTCCTGGTTATGAAAAGGCTGAGATGGTGGGCCTGACCTACATCCCTGGCCTCTGGGGACAATACATGAAATATCAATAAGCTACATCATGAGCCCCAAGCTCTTTCGAGAGGAAAGTGGTTTTTCTTAAAAAAAAGAAAAGAAAAAAGAAATAAAATGAAATTCTTCTTCTTTTTAATATATAACGATTTTTTTCCGCTGGATTCTTACGGGATTCGTTTCACAGAAGGCATATTTATCTGCTAAAAATGGAGAAATTCTTGCATGCCTCTGGATTATTGGTGGCTGGGAAAAACACGCAAGAGAAATTTCCTGAGAGTAAGGACAATTAAAAGCAATGGAAGGGCTTGCCTTCAGAGGCTGTGGGGGGCTCCATCACTGGAGGCTTTGAAAGGAGACTGGACAGCAGTTTGTCTGGAATGCTGGGACACCCCCTGATAATAAGCCCAATCGGGCTTTTGAGCGCATGGCAGTAAGGCCAAGAGCTTATTTCAGGGTTCAAAAAAATATAAGACAGTGTCTTATTTTTGGAGAAACACGGTATCACTATCATATATATTTATTATATCTACTTACCATATTTATATATCAATCATATCTCTCACTATCATATCTATTTATCTATCATTCTATCTATCTATCATATGTAACTATATATTATCATATCTATTTATATCTACCTATCATATTTATATATCATATCTATCACTCATATCTATATCTATCATTCTATCTATCATATGTAACTATATACTATCATATCTATTGATCATATCTATCATATTTATCTATCACTATCATATCTATCTATCCATCTATCTATCCATCTATCTATTTATCATCTATGTTCTACCTCTACCATCTCTCTCTCTATCATCTATCATCCTGTCTCTCTTTATTTCTATATCTATTATCTATCTATCTATCTATCTATCTATCTATCTATCTATCTATCTATCATCTATGATCTACCTCTACCATCTCTATCATCTCTCTATCATCCTATCTATCTTTATTTCTATATCTATTATCTATCTATCTATCTATCTATCTATCTATCTATCTATCTATCTATCTATCTATCTATCATCTATGATCTACCTCTACCATCTCTATCATCTCTCTATCATCCTATCTATCTTTATTTCTATATCTATTATCTATCTATCTATCTATCTATCTATCTATCTATCTATCTATCTATCTATCTATCTATCTATCATCTACCTACCTACCTACCTATCACTATCATAACTATTTATCATATCTTTCATATCTATCTTCATCTTCATCATCTTTTTTTATCTATTTCTTTACCTATCATCATATCTATCTATCGTATCTACCTACCTTTCCATCAAATAGAAAATACAGGAATTCCAAAAGCTAACCTTTGCAAACATTCCCTGCCCTTGTTTAACTAATAATATTTCACAATTTTGGGGCTCTAATCAGCATGCCCGATTTTTTGTGTGTGTGTGTGTGTGTGCTTTTGGGAGAGGACGTGCTTGTTGGGCGGCTCACAAAAAGAGAATTTCTGTCTTCCACAAGCTTCGGAGATCACAGGTAACCGACACCCCCTCACCCCACCCCCACCCCGGTCTCTTTAGCTCCATTTCTGTCATTGCCGAGGCGAAAGGAAGGCAGAAGTGGGGATTTGCCGCTAAGCTGCCTGTCTCATCCAAGTGTCCGGCCTTCCTGCACACTCCTGGGTGGCCCTAAGACAGGAGCAAAGAGAGGAATAGGGAAGGCAGGCAGGCTCAGGAGGGCGGCCCTAGAGAAGGGATCGGCTAGTCTGCCCCTCCGGTATCCTTAGCAGCCTTACGTTGCTTTTGAATCCTCTGCTCTTCTCTTTTCCTTGGAAGGGAAACAGATGGACGCATTCATCGTAACGAGTGAAGGGAAAACAAGTGCTGTCTTTCCTTTTCTAGCAATAGAGAGGGCTAACCTAACCCCTGCACACATACACACACACACCGGGGGGGGGACCCTCCTGGGAACTGCATCCCTGCTCCTCTTCATCTTTCCAGTTCTCTAGAGCAGGAATTCACGGGATCCGTCTCCGCTGCCCTAGTGAAGCAAGGAAGGAATCAAGGGGGGGGGGGGGGGGTTTTGCCTCGGTAGGCTCGTTTTACAAGAATTTCCCTTTTATTTTGTGCTCTGATCAACAACCTGGAGGGGAGGGGAGGGAGGGAGGGAGGAAGGAAAGGGGAGAGGATGGGATGGGATGGGAAGGGGAAGAGAGAAGAGGAAGGAAAGGGAAGGGGAGGGGAGGGGAGGGGAGGGAGGAGGAGGAGGAGGAGAGGAGAGGAGAGGAGAGGAGAGGAGAGGAGAGAGGGGAGGGGAGGAGAGCAGAGAAGAGAAAGAAGAGAAGAGAAGAGAAGAGAAGAGAAGAGAAGAGAAGAGAAGAGAAGAGAAGAGCTGGAAGGGACCTCAGAGGTCAGAGGAGAGGAGAGGAGAGGAGAGGAGAGAGGAGGAGGGGAAAGGAGAGGAGAGGAGAGAGAGAGAGGGAGAGGAGAGGAGGGGGGAAGGAGGGGGGGGAGGGGAGGGGGAGGGGAGAAGAAGAGAGAAAGAAGAAAAGAAGAGAAGAGAAGAGAAGAGAAGAGAAGAGAAGAGAAGAGAAGAGAAAGAAGAGAGGGGAGGGGAGGGGAGGGAGGGGAGGGGAGGAAGAGGAGGAGGAGGAGGAGAGAGAGGAGAGGAGGAGGAGAGGAGAGGAGAGGAGAGGAAGGAGAGGAGAGGAGAGGAGAGGGAGGAGAGGAGAAGGAGAGAATAGAAGAGAAGAGAATAGAAGAAGAAAGAAAGAGAAGAGAAAGAAGAGAAGAGAAGAAAAGAGAAGAGAAGAGAAGAAGAGAAGAGAAGAGAAGAAAGAGAAAGAAGAGAAGAGAAGAGAAGAAGAAAGTTCCTACTGATTAGTTGCTAAACCCAGTTTTAGAACCAGGAGTTTGGTTTCTCCTGCTTGAGAGAGGTTCAAAGATAGCTTTCTGAAATGCAGTTTTTTAATCTGTGTAGAGATTGTCCTTCTCACCAAAGGTCCTGGCATTCCCCAGTCGCCCGCAGTCCGAACAGCCATCCCATTTTCTTTCCCCCTGACATGGAAAGGTACTTGGGTTAATTCAAGAAAATCCGGAGCAGGAAGGCAACCAGAAGTTCTTTTAGGAAGGGATTGTGCTGTGATCTGTAAAGACGTAAATTCGGAGAAAAAAATCTTTGGGACAACACGACCGGGATGACCATCTCCGTAGACATAAGGCTAGTCGGAATTGCCAAAGGCTGTGGGCAACTCTCAGAATTCCCAGCTAGCATGAAAGAGGATTTCCCACCCAGCGTGTGGGGACCCCACGTCAGAAAAGGCTACGGTTGGCCCTTTCAAAAGAGCCAGAAGAGCCATTACCTTCTTAATGGTGTTGTGCTTGCTATTCCCCCGGTCGTGGTTCTCGCTGTGCAGGATGTCCATGGTTGTCTCTCTCTCCTTTCAGTTTCAGAGCTTCGATCTCGGTCTTCAGCTCATTCAGCTGCTCCTGGAGATGTTTGCTCTTCTCCATGTATTCGACTCTGGGCAGAGGCAAAGAAACCGCCGTGAGCTGCCACAGAAGTTATTTTTGTATCCATCCATCCAACAATCATCTATCAATATCTATCCTCTTCCAATCATCTAGTCTATCTATCTATCTATCATCTATCTATCTAATCCATCTATCTGTCTGTCTGTCTGTCTGTCTGTCTGTGTCTATCTATCTACCTATTTATCTAATCCATCTTCTGTCTCTTTATATCTACCTACCTACCTACCTACCTACCTATCTACCTACCTCTCTATCTAATCCATCTTCTATCTATATCCACCTACCTATCTACCTACCTATCTCTATCTCTCTATCATCTCTCTATCTAATCCATCCATCCATCCATCCATTTAATCCATCTTCTATCTATCTTTATATCTAATCTGTCTGTCTGTCTGTCTGTCTGTCTGTCTATCTATCTACTCTATCTATCTATCTATCTATCTATCTATCTATCTATCTATCTATCTATCTATCTATCTATCTATCTATCTATCTATCCAGCCATCTATTTATCTATCTTTATATCTAATCTATCTACCTATCTGTCTGTCTGTCTGTCTGTGTCTATCTATCTACCTATTTATCTAATCCATCTTCTATCTCTTTATATCTACCTACCTACCTACCTCTCTATCTAATCCATCTTCTATCTATCTATATCCACCTACCTATCTATCTACCTATCTCTATCTCTCTATCATCTATCTAATCCATCCATCCATCCATCCATCCATCCATCCATCCATCCATCCAATCCATCTTCTATCTATCTTTATATCTAATCTATCTGTCTGTCTATCTATCATCTATCTAATCCATCTATCCATCCATCCATCCATCTATCTTCTATCTATCCATCTATCTATCTATCTATCTATCTATCTATCTATCTATCTATCTATCTATCTATCTACCTACCTACCTACCTACCTACCTACCTATCTTCTATCTTTATATCTAATCCATCCATCCATCCATTCATAATCTATCATCTATGTGTCATTTATCATCCGTCTCTCTGTCTGCCTCATGGTAGCCCCATGTAGAGCGCACTGCAGTAGTCCAAACACAAGATGAGCAGGGCACGAGTGACTGAGCAGAAAGCCAAGACCTTGAAGCTAACATCGAAACCAAGAGGCAGGCTTTGTCAAGCAGCTGCTCTGCCAATCTTTGGCTTTTCAGCTTCCTGCCTATTCTCTCAGCATGGTGGAAAACCTTCCCGCAAAAGAGGTTGAGGAAGGCTGAGGCAGAGTGACTGGGATGAAGGAATAAGAGGACTCACTTCTCCTTCTCGATCTCCATGGACAACCTCTTCATGTCGTTATCCTTGAAGTCGAAGGAGAGGCTTTCGCTAATGATGCCAAATGTTGACATGTCAGCGGGCAAGGCGGTCGTACTTGCGTTCATGGGCGGCTGAGGACAAAATAAGAGGTTAATTCACCGTAGGGGCGGATATCTGTAGCTCAGGTAGAGGAGGAGGAGGGTGACGGTTCATTCTCCGAGCTTGTGGGTTGATTTTCGAATGTTTCGTTACCAAGCTAGGTATCAATACCTTCAGTGGAGTTGAATGAACCTCACCTGACATAACGTCCCCATCACAGGACCCTCACTGGTGACTCACACCTGACCCATCAAAAGACCCCCAACTGACACACCCACACCTGAGTGATCAGCAAGGATGGCCTTGAAATGGACTTTTTGTAAAGGTGCTCACTATCAGCATTCTGATGCTGCCATAAAAAGACGAGGCTTGACTTTTCACCTACTTATTTTCTCTGTAGATAATATCCCCTAGGAGATGGGATGGTGGGGGGAACATTCCTGTGGGGTGAGGTCAGAAGCTGAGGAGACTGACTTGGAAGATGGCCAATGAGACGATGAGAATTGGGGAACGGAAAGGGAAGGGTTTGGGGGTCAGAGGGTTAGTATCAGCTACGACTAAGTCGGGGCCAGATCTGTCGTACTCAATAAATGGAATACTTCAGCAAAGATTAATTGTTTGGGAGTGCAATTTATTTGAGATGACATCGAAACCTGACACTCACACTGCTGAACAACAGACAGAATAACAGAGTTGGAAGGGACCTTGGAGGTCTTCTAGTCCAACCCCCTGCCTAGGCAGGAAACCCTGTACCACTGCAGACAAATGGTTTATCCAACCTCTTCTTAAAAACTTCCAGTGTTGGAGCATTCACAAGTTCTGGAGGCAAGTCGTTCCACTGGTAAATTGTTCTCACTGTCAGGAAATTCCTTCTTAGTTCTAGGTTGGACCTCTTTTTGACTAGAAGGCGAGGTTTTTAAAAACAATGCAATATGGAAGCATTTCCAACTGGCAAATGAGAAGGACAGGTGTGCTGTCAAACAGACGCTGGCCCCCGATACTTAGAACAAAGGCCAAAATTTTCCCTGACAGCTTGGACAAAAAAAAAAAAAAAAAAGATCTTGTTAGGCAGACAAAAGCTCTTTTAAGCCAATGCAACCCAGCCAATTTGTCGTACAAGGGGAAGGATCGCACGTTAAACTGCTCCCAGGTGTTCCCATGTGGCCCGTTTTGGATGCAGGTTAGGTGCAGGGTGCGTGTGGAGGCTCAGGGAGGGCGAAAAATGGGCCTACCGGAAGTTCAGGAAGGGCCTCCGGAGCCTGGGGAGGACATTTTCATCCTCATGGAGGCTCCAGGAAAGCCTTCAGAGCCTGGGGAGGGCAAAAATGCCCCCCACCCCCGCCATCGTGCAGAAGGCTGACTAGGCCATGCCCACCCAGAAACAGGACAAAGAACCCCTTGCTAAAATTTTTGAAGCCCACCCCTGAGTGCAACCAACCACAATAAATTAAACTTGTATGCGGCCCCAGTTTCAGTGACTCTGGGCAGCTGAATGAATAAATGAATAAATGAGCCTTTCTTTTAACAGGGTCTTCCAGATTTTTTAACTTTGTTTACAAGTTCTCGGCCCATCTATTCTGGACCAGGAAGCTCCATTTTCCTGCCAGCAGTTACCAAAGAACATTAATTTTATTGCACTCTGCTGCTTTTTTTTTTTTTTTTTTTTACCTTCCTTACTTTTTGCACTCGTCTTTCCTTTCCTACTCAGCCGAGGTGTCTTTTATGAGAGAATCAGTCTCTGGGCAATTGCACTCTGGCTGTTTAAACCGAGACCCGGAATGATTCATGCTCCCAGCAAAACAGAACAAAACCGAGAGTGAGAATTGCAAAAGGCAACACGAAACTGTTCCACGACGAGGGACTCTTCGGGCTAATACATACAATACTTTTCAAGATGGAAAACCATTTTTTTTTTTTGCTCCTCTTTAAAGTCCGTTGCCTTGCATTTCAATCGGAGATCTCCTAAGTTTGCTACTATTAAGGGGATAAAGAGATTTAAGGGATCATCTGCATGCTGGAACCTCCAAGAACAGATGCCTGGATTTCACTAATTCTGGAAATGTTGATTGCACACAGTAGGCAAAATCTTTTTAAGAACCACACACACACACACAAAAGATCATGAAAAGATCAACAGCGCATCTTTCCAGTTTGTCTTTCCTTTTCAAGAATGATTTTTTTTTTACAGCCGTTGCTATCAGCACCTAGGAATTCAAAAAAGCCCCAAGAATCCCTGACAATCAAGAATGTCATTTTAAAGAGATTTTTTTCTAGTCCTCGCAGGCTTCACAGGATATCTCTTGCACCCTTAGAAGAAAAGCATTTTCTTCCGAGGTGGGTAAAATGAGGACCCAGATTGTTGGGGGCAAGAGGCTGACTCTGTAAACCGCTTAGAGAGGGCTGGAAAGTACTGTGAAGCGGTATATAAGTCTAAGTGCTATTGCTATTGTCCTTCCTTCCTTCCTTCCTTCCTTCCTTCCTTCCTTCATTCATTCATTCATTCCCTCCCTCCCTCCCTCCTTCCCTCCCTCTCTGGAAGCGCAGGGGTTAGAATGCAATATCGCTGGCTAACTCTGCCCACAGCCAGGAGTTCGATCCTGACCGGCTCAAGGTTGACTCAGCCTTCCATCCTTCCGAGGTTGGTAAAATGAGGACCCAGATTGTTGAGGACTCTGTAAACTGCTTAGAGAAGACTGGGAAGCCCTGGGAAGCGATACATAAGTCTACAGTAAGTGCTATTGTTAGTTAAGATGGGTTAATCTCAGAATCTCAGGATTCCCTAGCCAACATGCTCACAATGGCTAACAATTTTGGGAAATTAAAAGTCCGCTCATCTCAAACAGTGTTTCCCCAAGGATGGCAACTTTAAGATAGCTGGCTGGGGAATCCTGGGAGTTGAAATCCACCCGTCTTAAAAGTTGCTGAGACTCACAAACCCTAGTCGAGGTGTCAATTCAAGATGGCTGGGGAATTCTGGGAGTTGAAGTCCACCCATCTTAAAAATTGCCAAAGTTGAGAAATACTGGCCTAGGGTGTCAATTCAAGCAGAGAATTCTGGGAGTTGAAGTCCACCCATCTTAAATTTGCTGAGACTCACAAACACTGGACTAGGGGTGTCCATTCAAGCTGGCTGGGGAATTCTGGGAGTTGACAAGTTCACCCATCTTAAAGTTGTCAAGGTTGGGGAAGGACTGATCCGGAGGGCACCCAGGCATATCCATAAGAATGAAAAATCTGGAGTCCTCAACAGGGTGGGGAAAAAAATAATTCAATAATTCAGAATTTTCTTACGGTGTAGGATGACTTGCTGGTGATCTCCAGAAGTTTCTGCTTGGCTCTCCTCTCAGAGTCACGGGATTCTTGCAAGTCGTTCTTGAGCTGATCGGCCTCCTTTGCCCTGCGGCAGTCAAGAAGGGAAGAATCCACAGTCAGACCCAAACCAGCATTTATCCTCCCCCCCAAAAAGAGACAAGAGGAGGCAATGCATCATCTGAGCAAGGTCACGTCCTATCCATATCATAAAGCAGAAACGGTGAAGGTGAGGATTGTTATCTCCGATAGCCGATTCTAACTTGGAAAACTCTCAGAAAAGATTCTGCAGGTGACAATTAAATCAAACAAATGGCAAAAGACATGCTGGTTTTCTAGGAACCCCACAACTGATGCCCTTTCTTGTCACTGTCTCTATTCTAAAATGGGGTGAGATAATCTCTTATAAGGCTATGCTATGCTATGGCAAATCTAGATAGTGTACTAAAAAGCAGAGACATCACCTTGCCAACAAAAGTGCGTATAGTCAAGGCGATGGTTTTCCCATTTGCAATGGATGGCTGGGAAAGTTGGACCACAAGGAAGGCCGAGCGCCAAAGAATGGAGGCCTTTGAACTCTGGTGCTGGAGAAGACTCCTGCGAGTCCCTTGGACTGCAAGGTGATCCAACTAGTTAGTCCTAGAGGAGATCAACCCTGACTGCTCTTTAGAAGGCCAGATCCTGAAGAGGAAACTCAAATCCTTTGGCCACCTAATGAGAAGGAAGGACTCCCTGGAGAAGAGCCGAATGCTGGGAAAGATTGAGGGCAAAAGAAGAACGGGACGGCAGAGAACAAGGTGGCTGGATGGAGTCACTGAAGCAGTCGGCGTGAGCTTCAATGGACTCCAGAGGATGGTAGAGGACAGGAAGGCCTGGAGGAACGTTGTCCATGGGGTCGCGATGGGTCGGACATGACTTCGCAACTAACAACAATGAGAAGTGAAACACCTTCAGAGAAAAACAAGAAAGTCCAGTTGCCTCTTGAAAAAGCCACCTATGGGGCAACCAGATGGGAAAGGAGGGAGCTGGATATACAGGGTGGGGAGGTGGGATTAAGTTTTTATTAGTCAACCACCTCCAGTAAGAAGCTGTTCAAAAGCATTCCATTAATCTCTATTCAACTCCGGTCTGAGATTTCTAATTCCAGACATCTATAGGACATCTACAGGACATTGGTCTGGCTTAGTTCATTTTAAAGGCAAATGAAAAATTTTTATTGGCCAAGTGTGATTAGACACACAAGGAATTTGTCTCCGGTGCATAAACTCTCAGTGTAGATACAACTATAGTGAAAGATCATTAATCATAGTCGTTGTAAAAATACATTCATCACAAAACATTAGAAACAACTCTTAAGTGATAGCCATGGACGCTAAATAAGCAATACTATGTAATTGCTACATGCAGGCTGGGGAATTCTGGGAGCTGAAGTCCACGCATCTTCAAGCTTCCACGGTTGAGAAACACTGCTCGAAGGGAACAGGGGTGCCATCCCTGAAGTTTGACAGGCCCAGGAGGTAGGTATCCCCTACATAAGGAGCCCAAGTGGGCATATCAGAGAGGTTAAACCCAGCAAACCCAACCAAGCTCCACCTGTAGTACCACCTTCGTTCAGACTCCTCCGCCATTTTCAGCGCCAGCATCTCCGCCTCCAACACCTTCTGTTCCATCAGCCGCTTCTCTTCCTCGGTCCGTATCGCCGTGGCTTTGATCCGTTGCATTTCCTGCTCCGCCTCGGCTGCCTTTTGAGCCAGGAGCTTGGCTTCCTCTTCGGTGATCTGAGCTTTCTCAGCCAGCAAGTCGGCGGTTTCTTCCGATCTCATCTGGGCGAGAAGGGCGGAGAAATTAAAGACACACGAATGGAAGTCTGGATGATTTTCCAAAGATGGGGAAGACGGGGAATGGGTTCCAAAAGGTTTAGAATACTGATAGCTCTGGACTGACAACAGTTCACTTAGTGACCATTCGAAGTCACAATAGTGACGGGCCTCAGATGAGCCTCCACCAACTATCTTGGATGAAACATCCCTTCCACAGAGACACTCGTGTTCTTTCTAAGTAAGACTCTACCTGTAGAAGCATCTGAGGCAGTAATGGGATTCAGCCGGTTTGGGAGAACCGATAGCTAAATGGCTGGCTGGCTCTGCCCTGCCCCGCCCCTTCCAGGAGTCCCCACGCGCACCATTTTGGCTCCCGTGTAAATGCAGGGAAGCGTCCTAGGCCCAAAATGGGGCACGGGGGAGGGGGGCGCATCCCCCCTGCAGCCCATTTTTTGCTCCGGGGTGTGTGTGCAGGAGGCCGAGTGCTGCCTATCACACCCCATGGCCACGCCCACCCAGACGGTCATTAGGGCAGAGAACCGGTTGTTAAATTATTTGACTCCCACCACTGAAATTCTGAGGGACCTACCAGAGCTTCGTTCGCCATGGTGGCCTCCTCTTTCAACTGCAGAAGTCTCCTCTCCAACTCATCCCTTGTGCGTTCGGCCTCTTCTCTCATCTGTTTCTCTCGGGCTAAACGTTGGCGCTCCATCTAGGAAGAAGCAAACGATTGGGGGGGGGGGGGAGAAGAATGAAAAACAGCTACTATATGCAGATCATATGCATTCAGGAAAGAGAGTGGTGCTGTGGCGTAGAGGTGGAGCTCTCGCCTCAGCATCAGGAGGCTGTGAGTTCGATCCTAGGTAGAGGCAGGTATTTCTTTCTCTCTCTCGGGGCACAATGACAATATATCTGCTCAACAAAACTCTGCTCTGGCAACAGGAACGGCATCCGGCCATCTACATCCCACATATTGTCTACATCCCACTCAGCCCTGCTGGAAGGACCTAACACGATGCCAGGTGCCTGTTGAGCTACGTTCTAAACCCAGATGGTTTAGGGTCCTCGCCCTAAGGAAATCCAGGATCTAAAACTTCTGTAACATTTTGGGGCACCTCTAAAACCCAACACAGAATTCCCCAAAGTTTTTGGCTTCGCAGACCGGCCGGAGGGAGGAGGGATGGTTTGCGTAAGTGGCCGGGAAGCGCGCACAGCTCCGTTTTCACAAGTGGCATGTACTCATGCCTGCCGCATATGCTATGTTGAGGATACACATGCACCCTCGCCGGCCCTTTCCAGGGCCCAGTGGCAAACCTCTTCACGACCCACTCATGGGCCGCGACCCACAGCTTGGGGGACCCCCTGACTCAAGAGGCTCGGCTGCAGCTTCTCCTGCTCTCTCTCTCTCTCTCTCTCTCTCTAGCAGCTTACCCAGAAGTGGCCATCAATATTCCGCCTGGCCCTCTACAGATTAGCTGTACGGGTTTCAGCAAAGAGGAAAAGGAATCTGTGAGCATGATTCATACAATCCAATTTGCAGCGATGCACTCCCTGCTGCAGACTGCTATGTGCTGCGTCTGCCAGATGGGAAAAAAGGAGGCCAAGCCACGAAAATTAGCATGCAGGTGGCATGCAAGCCGCACGTCGGCACACAGTTCATTATCGTTTAATTAGGAGAGAGGAGGGCAGGGCTCCTCCTCCGCCGCCCAGGTTCCGTTTTCCCGGTAACCGATTCCCTGCCGCCACCACACACACACACAGACACAGACACACACTCCAAAATGTGGAGAAGAGTAACAAAAAGAGGAGACGCATTTAGAAAGCACTCTGTAGCACATGCTTGCGTGGACTCACATGCGCGCGCGCCTACTCAACACCTTTACATCAAAAGCCGACGGAAAGGATGTGTCAGCAAAGGGACAAGACAAAGGGACAAGAAGCAACGGATGGAAACTCATCAAGGAGAGAAGCAACTTAGAACTAAGGAGAAACTTCCTGACAGTGAGAAGGATTAATCAGTGGGATGACTTGCCTCCAGAAGTTGTGAATGCTCCAACACTGGAAGTTTTTAAGAAGAGGTTGGACAACCATTTGTCTGAAGTGGTGTAGGGTTTCCTGCCTAAGCAGGGGGTTGGACTAGAAGACCTCCAAGGTCCCTTCCAACTCTGTTATTCTATTCTATTCTATTATTCTATTCTATTCTATTCTATTCTATTCTATTCTATTCTATTCTATTCTATTCTATTCTATTCTATTCTATTCTATTGTCAGCACTTCAACCTGCATTTACTCTAGTGCTGACAGAAGAAGGAGAAGCGAAGGCGTCTGGAAAGGGACGTTTGATTTTTCACCTACTTATTTTCCCTGGAGTTAATATCCCCTAGGAGATGAGATGGGAGGGAGGAAATTCCTTTGAGCTGGAGTTGATTAGGGGTAGAATGACTTGGAAGATGGCCAATGAGTGCAGGGGAGTGGGGAACGGAAAGGGAGGGTTTTGGGGCTGGAAGTCAGTGTTGGCTTCGATTGCAGTCAGGTTAGAATGTCGTGCTTAATAAATAGGAGTTTTTCTTCAAAGACTGTGTTTGAAATGCAATTTATTTGAGACGACCTCGAAACTTGACATTCTATTATATTCTATTTTCTATTTTCTATTTTCTATTTTCTATTTCTATTCTATTCTATTCTATTCTATTCTATTCTATATTCTATTCTAAAAAAAAAAAAGAATTATGGGTGGGGGCACACATGTGCACGACCTCGCCCCGTGCTCCTCCTGCTTTTGGCACACGACGGCAAAAAGGTTAGCCATCCCCGATCTAGGATGCCTTGTGAATGAATGCACAGCTCCCTTGTTTGAACTAGTAATATTTTCTCACCTGCTTCCTGGCTTTCTCTTCCCTGGCCTGGGCTTTCATTTGCTGGACTTCGAGGGAATCGGCCTTCCGTCTCCTCATGAACAGGTCGTGGTTGCCAATGCACAGCTGAAGGATCTGTTGCAGCCAACAAGAAAGGAAGCAACACGTTAACACGACACCGTGTGTGAACAATGGCTTTTTAAATTAAATTTTTAATAATTTTTATTATTATTGTTTTCCTTTAAAAACAAGAACAGAAACAAACACAAAAAACATAAATTTCCATTTTACCACAGTTTCATATCGGTCTTCTTTTAAAATTCACGTTTTTTCCCCTCCCCGTCTTTACATATATTTATATCTGTGGTTCCCTTGTTCCTTACTTATGTATATATTTCTTTATCTGTTATAAATATTATTGTATCTATATTTTACTTTACATATACCCTGTTTTCCCCAGAATAAGAAATCCCCTCATAAGAAGCCCAATTGGACTTTTTGAGCGCATGGCAATAAGGCCAAGCGCTTATTTCAGCATACCAAAAAATATAAGACAGGGTCTTATTTTCGGGGAAACACGGTATTGTCTGTTTAGTGGCATTTTAGTAATCCTTCTTCCTTGCTGTTCCTGACCTCTGGCCATTTATACCATTTATTCCATATTAAATAATATTCCGTTTCATCTTTTTCTCTTATCTCTTTCGTCAATTTGTCCATCTCTGCACAATCGTTAGACTTTCCTTATCACCTCTTCCTCTTTTGGTACAGTGTTGCTTTTCCAGTTCTGTGCGTATGTTATCCTGGCTGCCGTTATAATATGTAAAATTAAATATTGTATTTCTTTGGTATAGTTTCTGGAGAGTATTCCCAATAAAAATAGTTCCGGTTTCCAGTCTATTTCCTGACAGTGAGAACAATTAATCAATGGAACGAATTGCCTCCAGAAGTTGTGAATGCTCCAACATTGGAAGTTTTTAAGAAGAGGTTGGATAACCATTTGTCTGAAGTGGTGTAAGGTTTCCTGCCTAAGCAGGGGGTTGGACTAGAAGACCTCCAAGGTCCCTTCCAACTCTGTTATTCTATTCTATTCTAACATTCTTTTTCCCGAATTTTCAGCTACCTTCTTTCAGGCTATATTTAGAAATCACAGACAACCACTGAAATCCCCCAGGTTAGTTGCTAAGCTGGCAAGAGAAGGACAGAAGGAGTGATTTGAGATTGTGTTCTGAATAACCCTCCAGCTCTTGCCAGCGTGATTCAAACTGCAAAACAGACAAAAGAGAGAGAGAGAGAGAGAGAGAGAGAGAGAGAGAGAGAGAGAGAGAGATGAATTGGCAACCCGAGATTGGTCAACACCTCCTGTAAAGTCTTCAATCCATCAATAGGGCGAGGTCCTGCAAAAACATTTAGCTGAAAAAGGCACAGGCTTAAAACGGAAGTTTGCTAGTGGGAATCGAAGGACGCTAACTAGATGTAGCTAAGGAGCCAAGAGCGGGCGAAATAAAGCAGCCGCCGTTAGAAATCTTTCATCGAGAAGCCTGTTGTTTTCCCAGCTCTCCAAGAGACCAATTTCGGAGAGGATTCTCAAACAAAGCCCTCCTGCTTGAACCAACAGTGGATTATGCCTTGTCAGGTTGGCCTTTCGCTCAAGATTTAGAGCCACTTACCAAAAATATCAAACAGACCTTGTCCTGTCCTCCCTCTCTCGCTCTCTCTAATCCGCCCGAAAAATAATATCCCTCGCAAGAAAGGTGGGCAACCAGAGGTGGACAAATCACGACATTTGCTCCTGCTTATTAAGATAATGGCCAGGGTCCTTTCAACAGCTGTTTATATAAGAACCATGGAAAGCCGAGCATGGAGGATGCGTTGTGGTCCGCCGGTGGCCTGCGGAGCTGGCAGTGGAGTCGGACAGTGAGGAGGCTGGGGAGGAACATGGGCCAGTCCTGGAGTCTGGGGAGGGCTCGGACGAGGACTCTGCATCGGAGGCAGAGATGGGGCCAGGACCATCTGGGAGCGATGCGCACACTCCGGAGCCTCCAGAGTCGGACAGCAGAGAGGCAGAGGAACAGGAGGAGCCTGTTCCCAATGCACGCATGCGCAGAGCTGCCAGAAGGCAAGAGCAGCTAAAGCAAAAAGGACGACTTGGGAGTAAGGCCAGGAGATGATTGGCCCCTCCCATAAGGCTTAAAAGAGCAACAAAGGCTCTTGGGCTCTTTGTAGGAAAGCAACGTTGCTAAATCTATTTTCCAGTCGGCGCCTCTTGTTTCTGGACTTTGTGGGGCTTTGCCAAGAAAGGCCTTTGGCAGGGTGCCAAAGAAGATAAAGGTTTGTGATAAGCCCGAAGGACTTTTTCTGAAGGACTTTGTTTTGGAATTAATTTGGACTAAGCTGGGAATGAAGTCATTCTCAGCTGTTATAATAAAATAGTTTGTTCGGGACTAATTGTGTCCTGTAATGACTAAGTGAGACTAGGTCACAGCAGATTGGAGAGCCCTGAGCTGGAATATGATAAATATTCTCATTTTGGGGCCTACATCGCTGAGTCTTGAGCTGTGGCTTGCCAATTCAGCTGCAAACCTCTGGATGCTACCACAGGTTTACCCTGTTTGCATCTGCAGCATGCAAGCATGTCTCGGTGCAGAAAAGGGAAATGGGGTACCTTCCTCCGCTCAGGAGAAATTGCTCCCACGTGACAAGGACGTGGTACCTACCAGTTTATTCACACGCAGCTTTGAGGAGTTGAATTTGAAGACGTCAATCTTCTTGTCCAGGGGCTTTATTGTAAACTGGATGGAAAACAAAAGCAGCTTTGTGTACGTTATTTTTTTAAAGACACAAGAGAACGAAGGAGCTGATCGTTAACCCAGGCATGAGGAATAGATAGAAGATGGGAACCAGGCTTTCTCTCAAGTTAAATCATTGATTCACCCGGCTGAGATATTTCCAACTGGAACTAACTTTCCCGGATCTCAGAAAGGAAACATCCCCGTTCCTTCCAAAATATTGGGCACTGGTCCAGAAAAAAAAAAAAAATCAGCCTGAATTGCCTTTATTTTTTTCTAACTCCTGCTAAAATTGAGCACCGCAAATGCTGAAATGTAGGGAGATGCCAGTTCCTACCACGATGATGCTGGAAACTCAGAAATGGGATCAAAGGCCCAACAAGGAAATTCATTTAGTTGAAGAAATCAACAACAATGGGGGAAAAAAATCCTTACTTCATCTTGCTTACTTCTCTCTTTCTGTTTCTTTTTTTCTCTTTTTCTCTCTTTCTCTCTTTTTCTCTTTCTCCTTTTCTTTCTTTGTCTCTTTTTTCCCTCTCATCTTTTTCTCTCCCTCTTCTTTCTCTCTCCCCCTTTCTGTCTTATCTCTTTTTCTCTCTTTTTTCCCTCGCTGTCTTTTTTCTCCTTTTCTTTCTCTCCATCATTTTTCTCTCCCTCTTCTTTCTCTCTCCCCCTTTTTCTTTGTCTTTTTATCTCTTTTTCTCTTTCTCTTTCTTTCCCTCGCTCTTTCTCTGTCTTTTTCTTTCTCCTTTTCTTTCTCTCCATCTTTTTCTCTCCCTCTTCTTTCTCTCTCCCTCTCTTTCTCTCTCTCTCTTATCTCTTTTTCTCTTTCTCTCACACTCACATACACACACAATCCCTGTGCCACTGACAAAGGTTTTGTCGGGAGAAAAGAACATTCTCTAATTGTTAGCGCTTAGAGAAAGGATCAGCAATGGTTCATCTTACAGGTCGGGGAAAAAAAAAGAGTGAGTAATGCCCACTTTGTCATTTAGCTGGCAGTTGGAGATGCTGTCTTCGATTCTGGCTCCCTTGAGAGGAAACCCACCCCCCCACCCCACCCCCCCAAACTAATCCCACCTCTTGAATTTTCTGCCAACAATGGGCAGAGAGAAAGGACATTTCAATTCTGGGCAAACATTCAATAATTCCTATACTAGATTAAACACCTCCTCTGCGTCGAGGGGTTCCGTTCGTAAGGCTGTGCATCCCATCCTGTCCGATCTGCCCATCATCTCGTTGCCAGCCTTCGTTGAAGTGATCAAAGGTGACAGCGGCGTCCCTCGAATGATGGGCCTGTTGACATCTGAGAGAAGAGACTTCCAGCTCTCTCTCCCTGCATTGTTGAGGTTCTGACATTAAGGAGACGCAGGTCTGATCGGCTTCCTTTCAGCCTTTAGAATCATGCATGTATGCTGAACAGGTGTTATACAGGTAGTCCTCGATTTACGACTTACAATTGGAGCCCAACATTACTGTTAAGTGAGACATTTGGGAAGTGAATTTTTTTACTTAGCAATGGAAAATTCAGGGCCCAGTTGTGAATGTATTACAATGAGATGCAACGATATCTTTTCAAAAAAGGGGGGGAGGAGGAATCCACAAATTCAATGCTTAAGCTCTGAACTGGGACTTTTTTTACCCGTTCTAGGTAGCGTTTATCTCTCGCAGTCCTCTTTATCCTTTTCCTATTGTTAAGAAAACAAGTCCTCCTGCAAATTAGTGCTCCTGCCTGTCTTAAAAAGCTCAACCCAACGCATGAAGGCTCCTATTCACATTCCGAACTCGATGCCTCTGGATTGTTAAATGCAGCACTTAAGAAATTTCACTTAAGGGCTGCCGGACAAGCCAGGACTCCAATTGTGCCGTTGTACATAAACACAGTAGAAAGGGCAATTAGAAACCCCGAGGAGACGAGACCTGGGAAAGGAAGGTCGACTTAATTTAAGCACAGCCAGGAAACATTCATCAGTTCCAAACGAGAAGCCAAAGGCTTATTTAAATACAAATGGAGGGAGGAAAAAAAAATTCGCACTGATCCAAAATCGAGAAGATTCTGAATTTCCTTTATGCTGTCAGGGTTCCGACAGATGACCTAATTAAATCATGAGCCTCGAGCCAAGCTTCAAAAGAAATCCAGTTATTTATTAGGAGCTTCACGTCGGCAGGCTCCCAAATGAAGCCAATTCGGACCCCACGTAATTTACGCCCCAATCATGACCTTGTTTCCCCCCCTCCCCCCAGGGTGTGTCATCGATCACATTCGCCAATGGAGCATTTTTGCGGGTTATAGAGATCACTCCCCTCCGGCCGCTGTGGGTAAGCCTGGGAGACAGCCTTGAGAGAGATAAGTCTGGAATGTGCATCTGTCTTTAGCTGCTGTGCTGTTTCGTCGGTTTCCCATTCCCCCTTGCCTATGGCAACTCGAAAGCAGGCCAGGGATGCTTTGCGAGTTGACATATGCACTTTTAAGTTCTGGATTAACTCTTTTCATTCAAAGTGCCCTCCGCCGGTGGGATTTCAACCTAACACAATCACAGATAGTCCTCGACTTACAACAGTCTGCTTAGTGACCGTTCGAAGTGACAACGGCACTGGAAAAAGTGACTTATGACCCGTTTTTCACACTTATGACCATTGTAGCATCCCCGTGGTCACGTGATTTACATTCGGTAACGGGTTCCTATTTATGATGGAAGGCTCACGTGATCCCTTTTTGCGACCTCCTTGACAAGCAAAGGTAACGGGGAAGCCAGGTTCACTTAACAACTGTGTGACTGATTATAACAGCTGCCGTGATTCATTTAACAAACGTGGCAAGAAAAAAGTCGTAAAAACAGGTCAAGACTCACTTAACCAATTTCTCACTTAGCAACAGAGCTTCTGGGCTCAATTGTGGTCGTAAATTGAAGATTACCTGTATTATTTATCGTCTCAACGGCACCAACCCCAGGAGGTTTCCAATAAATTTTAACCAGGCAGATGTTCAAACCACATCCTCTTTTAAAGGCCCCGTAATCCCTTGCGGGGTGGAGTCTTGGGCAACCGAATGGAGCTGAATGAGTGTTTACTGGCTGGATGCCCTTCCTATCGCCAGTACGGAGTTATATTCAGCAGATATAGCCACATTGTGCCCAGAGAGAGAAATATCTGCCTCTATCTAGGATCGAACTCACAGCCTCCTTGACTGTGAGGCGAGAACTCCACCTCTAGGCCACCACATGGCAAGGTGTTCAAACCACGACCTAAACTATTGTTTGCCTTTCTCCGTGTTTATACAGTTCGGGCTTACCTCCTTATCACTGTAAGAGACATTGCGAATCTCGTTCCAAGGAAAGGAGATTTTGGGGGTCAGCCTGTTTTCTGGATCGTATATGTGGAGGCCCAACGCATCGACTCCCAGAAGCAGTTCTGTCCCCTTCTTGTTCTAAAAGAAGAAGGAGAAAAAAAAAGGGGGGGTAAAATGGGGAGACTTAATTCCACTTGAAGTGGTACAGCATATCAGCCACACAGATTTGCACTTCCCCCCCCCCATGTTTTATTTGTTTTATTTATATAACAAAATTTAAAAATTTAAAAAAGAAAGGAAATCTCCTTCTGGCCCGCAGGTGAAGCGACAGGGGAAATGCTACTCAAAAAGCCACAGTACGCTTCTTGGCAAATGGGACCAGGGTTCAGCCTGAATGCTTTCTCGTCCCCCGTCCCCTCCATCAACACCCCGAACTGCAGAGCGATTCGCGCTGTGTATTTCTAGACGGACTTACTCGGATGGCAAAGTAATTCACGCCGTACATCTCCAGATCCTGCGCGATTTTCAAGTACTCCATTTCCGCTTCGTCCCTGCAAAGCAAAGCAAAGGGAGACGGGGTGTGGGAAGGAAATTTAGGGGACGATTTATTTTTTTTTTACCCGAAGGAGAGAAAGCAAGCCTCTGGCAGGCACCCAAGAACAGAAATCAAACATGGTGTAGCAGATCCCATCATCTCTCCGAAGATTGAGAATTTTGTTTTGCCAGCCAAGATGACAAAGCTTTGCGGAAAAAGTCCAAGCAGGTAAAAAATGCAAGTAGAAAAATAGGGACCACCTTTGGTGGGAAGGGAACAGCGTTCCGTGCGCCTTTGGCGTTGAGTCATGCAAGCCACACGACCACGGAGACATCTTCGGACAGCGCTGGCTCTTCGGCTTTGAAATACAGATGAGCAGTGCCCCCTAGAGTCGGGAACGACTAGCACATACGTGCGAGGGGAACCGTTACCGTTACCTTATCAGATGCTGCAGAGGTTGTGTTAAAAATGGCACTGAGTCTAAAAAAATATTACTATTATTATTACTGTGTGTAAAATATATCAACCCAGACAATACTTTGTCCGCCAAGCACATATGGATGTTAAAGAAAAAACTATAAATAAAAATATTTTTTAAACATGGCCATGAGTCCCTTTTTTCAGTGACTGTTAACTTCGAACAGTTGCTAAAGGAATGGTTTTTAAGTCAATGACTACCTGTGTTTACCTGTCCCTTTTAAGTCACTCACCTGGCTCTGCCTCGATGTTGGCCGTACCAGGCTGTGATCCTTTCTTCCCACATTTCCGGAGTCATTTGGTAGAGATTGATCACCTAGGATTAAAAAAAAAAAGAACCTTAACTCACAAGCAGGAGGTCCTATATTTATTTCGGACAGGCGGATGTCCAGTCTCTTCTTAAAAACCTCCAGTTATGGGGCATCCACAACTTCTGGTGGCAAGCTGTTCCACCGGTTAATTGTCCTCCCTGTTAGGAAGTTCCTCCTCAATTCCAGGTTGCTTCTCCCCTTGATGAGTTTCCATCCTTTGTTTCTTGTCTGGCCTTTTTTGTGCTTTGGAAAAGAAAGCATCCTGCTTTCCAAATCATGGCAGACTAAGACTCGCACTAAGTCCCAGCTGAGCTGAGTGAGTGTGAAATCCATCATCCTTACCCGTTTCGGAAGCAACTCCTCTTGAGCCAAGAAGCCGCGCTTGTGAACGCTGGGATCGTAATCTCCGTACTGCAAAGACAGAGGGATTTCTGGAGTTAGAGCAGTTGTGAGAATTGAGAGGCTAGATAGGAGGATACCCCTGGCATTAGCCCTTCCTGCAAACTCTGAACAAGGTTGGACACCCCTGGCATAACCCTTCCTGCCAACTCTGGATGGGGCCTGAATGCGTTTCTTCTCCGTCCTGCTATAAACCCAACAAGACGGACACGGACTTCAGAGGATCATTAGAACTGCAGAAAAAAAACAATGGCTACCAACCTGCCTTCCATGGAGGACCTGTATGCTGCAGGAGTCAAAAAGAGGGCTGGGAAAATATCTACAGACCCTCGCATCCTGGACATAAACTCTTTCAACTCCTACCCTCAAAACGACGCTATAGGGCACTGCACACCAGAACAACTAGACACAAGGACAGATTTTCCCCGAACGCTATTCTTGACAAATGTATCTTGTCTTTTTATGTACACTGAGAGCCTATGCACCAAAGACAAATTCCTTGTGTGTCCAATCACACTTGGCCAATAAAGAATTCTATTCTATTCTATTCTATTCTATTCTATTCTATTCTATTCTATTCTATTCTATTCTATTCTATTCTATTCCATTCCATTCCATTCCATTCCATTCCATTCCATTCCATTCCTTCCATTCCATTCCTTCCATTCCATTCCATTCCATTCCATTCCATTCCATTCCATTCCATTCCATTCCATTCGTTCTATTCTATTCTATTCTATTCTATTCTATTCTATTCTATTCTATTCTATTCTATTCTATTCCATTCCATTCCATTCCATTCCATTCCATTCCATTCCATTCCATTCCTTCCATTCCATTCGTTCTATTCCATTCCATTCGTTCTATTCTATTCTATTCTATTCTATTCTATTCTATTCTATTCTATTCTATTCCATTCCATTCCATTCCTTCCATTCCATTCGTTCTATTCCATTCCATTCCATTCCATTCCATTCCATTCCATTCCATTCCAAAACTGAATGCACCCCTCCTTCCCACAATTAAAGATTCGATTTTAAGGAAGCCAGTCCTTAAAAAGATCGTGTGCACGGATTCAGTGTTTTTAACAAATGGACAAAAAGCAGAGAGGCTAACGCTGCTTGCATTCGGCTCTTAACCCAGCTAACTAAAATTGAAGAGGAAGGAGGGGTGGAGGAAAAATAGCCGCGTTCAGCGGCTCACGGACGAATTCGGCATGCAAATATCTATTATGTAACTGACTCCACTCGGGAGAGAAAGAAAGAAAGAGAGAGGGAGACAGCAAACCCCATCCTTTGAAATTCCTACAGAGCCTCCGACGGTTCCAGCTCTGAAGCTTTCCTAGGATAACCCTTAGATCTTCGGAAGAAAATTAAAATTAGAAGTAGAACAGTTCACGTCAAAGGCAACATTTATGGCAGGGCTGCAGAACTGGAGCACAAAAGAAAACAGCCCAGTAAATGATTCAACGTCTTCTTTTCTTATGGAAAGGATCAGATTTGGAAAATTAATGGGAACTGCAGAGAAACCAACATCTAAGACCTGACTTAACACAAAAAGAGAACCGTGGCTGCTTTCAGAATGAGGAGGGAAGAGTGGAAAGGAGGACAAAAGGAAGGAACGGCGTTCTCTGCCAAGTACAACCTCACCCCCACCCCTCCCCAGCCTCTCCCCCTCCTTCGGAGAGGCACAAGCTGTACCGGGTAGCACATTAGATCCCATCTCTATATAATTACTCCTTCTGCAAATCTGCTGGTTCCTAAAAAAAAAAATCAATCTGATGAGCTGGTTTGGTGTAGTGGTTAAAGGCTAGAAACCAGGAGACGGTGAGTTCTAGTCTTGCCTTAGGCAAGAAAGCCAGTTGGGTGGCTTTGGGCCAATCACCAGGAGACGGTGAGTTCTAGTCTTGCCTTAGGCATGAAAGCCTGCTAGATGACCTTGAGCCAATCACTAGGTGACTGTGAGTTCTAGTTCCACATTAGGCACGAAAGTCAGCTGCATGACTTTGGGCCAATCACTAGGAAATGGTGAGTTCTAGTTCTGCCTTAGCCATGGAAGGCAGTGGGGTGATTTTGGGCCAATCACTAGGAGACAGTGAGTTCTGGTTGCACCTTAGGCATGGAAGTCAGCTGTGTGACTTTGGGCCAATCACTAGGAGACGGTGATTTCTAGTTGCACCTTCGCCATGAAAGTCAGCTCCACGCCTTTGGGCCAACCACTAGGAGACGGTGAGTTCTAGTTCTGCCTTAGCCATGGAAGCTAGCTCCATGAATTCGGGCCAATCACCGGGAGATTGGGAGTTCTAGCTCCGCCTTAGCCATGGAAGCCAGCAGGGTGATTTTGGGCCAATCACTAGGAGACTGTGAGTTCCAGTTTTACCTTAGCCATGAAAATCAGATCCATAACTTTGGGCCAATCACTGGGAGACGGTGAGTTCTAGCTCCGCCTTAGCCATGGAAGCCAGCTCCATGAATTCGGGCCAATCACTGGGAGACGGTGAGTTCTAGCTCCGCCTTAGCCATGGAAGCCAGCAGGGTGATTTTGGGCCTATCACTAGGAAATGATGAATTCTAGTCCCGCCTTAGGCACGGCAGCCAGCTGGCTGCAATAATTCAGAATCTTCTTACTTATGTAGGATGACTTGCTGGTAATTTCCAAAAGTTTACACTGGCCTCTCCTTTCAGAATCACAAGCTTCTTGCAGCTGAATTCCGAGAGCTGAAGTCTAGGCGCCTTAAAGTTGCTAAGGTTGAGAAACGCCGTTCTACTCTGCCTGAAAGGTGATTTTCTTCCAAAAGGCAACTGGAATTGAAGACGTTTCGCTTCTTCATCCAAGGAGCTTCCTCTTCGGTTCTGACTGACCCACCCTCCAGTCAGAACCGAAGAAGCAGCTTCTTGGAATGAGAAGCAAAACGTCTTCCGAGGGGAAAACAAAAACAAAGAAAGTCCAGCTGCCTTTTTTTTGGGGGGGGGGGGAATCACCTTTGAGGCAACTGTGACCTGGATCAGGGGTCTCCAAACCTTGGCAACTTTTAAGACTTGTGGACTTCAACTCCCAGAGTTCCTCAGCCAGTTTTGCTGGTTGAGTCTTAAAAGTTGCCAAGGTTGGAGACCCCTGACCTGGATGGCTCGAGAACCTCCTTAGACACCCTGTTCCACTCTCGTCTTCCATACTCAGACCCGGCAGCCTTCCTCTCCCCTGTCTACTCTGACCACAAAGAAACCCGTTTCTGTCTCCGTTCCAACAGAAAGCATTAAGAAATAAGCACCCACCCCCACCCCCACCGGCCTCCCACGGGCCCTTTAAAAGCTTCGGAGGGCAACCCTCCATCCTTTCCTGTGGCGGATTCTGCTTAATGAACTTGACTGCGGTGTGAAGGTCTTTGGCGGAAGGCAAGATTTAAGAGGGGCAGCCGGAAGCATCTCAGACAGCCCACCTGTCTGGCTGCCAAAAGCTCTTTTATCTAAATTGGGTTACGGAGTACTACCGAATCATTATTCCTGTGCGTTCGTACAATCCGTCGTCAAGAGAGCCAATACCCTTCAGAGAGCCAGTGAAACCATTAAGGATTGAGAATTCGGGCCACCAGACACCCCCTCCCACCCCCCCCACCCCGTTCAAATGGAACAGGACGGCCACCCCCACCCACCGCCAAAGAAGTTAATACAAAAGAATGGTGATATCTGGATTTTAGCCCTGCAGTCACCCACGTACCAAAAGCCAAGTTGATGATGATTTATTTATTTATTCCAAACTATTAACGGCGACCTGCTAAACGACGTCTATCCTCTGCCGCAGGGGGTCTGCCGGCAACTTTAAACACTCAAAGAGCCATTTGGACCCGTTTCCCACAGAAAAGAAAACACCGGGAGCCACAAAGATCCTAACCGGAAGCCACACCGTTCAATTCTGGAGCCGACCGGAAGTCGCATGTTTTGTAAAGGATGTAGTTAAAAAGGACAAAGGAAGGGGGAAAAAAAAGAGAAAAAGGCCCTTATGTCATGATACACTCAGAAATAATCACTTCTGAGTCCGACAGGTAGTGCCAACGAAAGCCTGCTCCTAAAAGTGGCCTTTTGCCAATTAAAGTTGCATGACACCCCTTCTCGCTCAAGGACACGATGTGCAGGTAGCAAAAAGCACAAGGTAAATGCCCATCCATGTGGATTAATAGCAGGTCATACATTCAGGTGGCAACACAATATCCTCTGTAAACCTTTATTAAGAGATCCACCTGTCCTGGCTAGCCATTTTCACTCAACGCAACCCCGCGAGTTTAAGATGAAAACCAGAGGTGCATTAGCCACCCTGCGCAAACAGCAAAAGAAAAAGAAAAAAAAAGGACACCAGCTCAAGGACAATGATCTTTTATCAATGTCCGCCTAATGTTGGAAATGTAATCAGACTCCAGGTACCTATGATCATATGTGGTGAGCATGTATGAAAGCAAGAAAATATTGGGACGAAAATACACGCACGCTTGGAAAAGACGATTAAGCAGCATATAGATTTCAAGCCAGAAATATTTCTGTTAGGTGTGTAATACCGGAAAGTTATGATAAAGGGACTAGATACTTAATGCTACGTGTATCGACAACAGCGAGAATTGTATCGGCACAATATTGGAAAAAATGAGAACACCCCATCAGATGAAAATATAATTCGGAAAATATTGCCGCCTCCTCCTCCTCTGATTCAGCTGCTGGAGGGGCCGTCAGATGAGAGACACATTTAACACCTGTGGACTTCAACTCGCAGAATTCTGGGAGTTGAAATCCACAGGTCTTTAAGTTACGAAGACTGGACACCCCTATTGTAGAGGTCCTTATTTGATTGTTTTAAAGGCGAAACGTAAACAAGATCTTCAAAACAAGCCATTTATTTCCTTCAGGGAAATGAAATCCTCACATTTTATCGGTTTTCCAGATTGATGAGCATTGTCAGGATCAGAACCAGGAATGTACCCCAATTATGAAGCAAGGTTTACCTTGGCTTGTACGGCGTAGGATGCTAGAAGGACGGATGCCTCCGGAGGACAGTAGATCTTCTCATCCAAGATCTGTTTCTTCACCTGAACGAGGCAACAATGAAAATGACAAGGTGGTGAAGAACCGAGCAGGTGGCCTCCAGGCTGCACCAAAGCAGCTTCCAACCAGCCAGTTAAATACCAATTATAATTCTTGAGCTGCCATCCTGAATATACCAGAAGGCAAGAGAAGCTCAAGCAAAGAGGACAACTCAGGAGTAAGGCCAAGAAATGATTGGCCCCTCCCATAAGGCTTAAAACAGACCAGCAACGGCGTTTGAGCTTTGCCGGAAAACAATGTTGGTAGCTTCATCTTCTTCTTCGTCTACGTCTTGTATTTATTTTTGTATCTGTGACTTCTGAACGTTTGCCAAGAAACGCCTTTGGCAGTTTGCCTAATTGGACCAAGGTTTGCGATAGGACTGAGGAATTTGTGTTGGGAGGAATTTGCTTTAATTTAGTTGAACGACGCTGGGAATGAAGTCATTCTCAGCTGTTCGAATAAAGTTTGTTTGTTTTTTCACTGACTGATTTTCCTACTACTTACTTGGGCCTTGGGCTTAGTAATATATTACTAAGCCTCGCTGAACACTGAGGAGTAAACAGGCCTCCCCAATTTCATTTTTTTTTTTTTTTGTAAAGAAATGCAAGCTGCAGAAATGCGAGGATGCAACAGGTATGTTTTGGGAGAATATTCCAGTTCTCCCAAAAGAGAACTTCCAAAGAGGTTACGCAACTGTGTTAAAAGGGCATAAAATATGAGCAGATACATCATGCCTAAATCAAAATCAAAATTTCCATCCCGGCACCAATTTTAAAAGCAAGATTTTAAGAGGTGGCTAAGGCAGACCACGTTCCGTTCGATGCTCCCCATTCAAATTGATTCTACCTTTATTTCACTAATTCTTTTAGCCACCTCTGCTCAGACACGGCTTAACACAATCATCAATCTCATCTGATTCTCTCCGCCGCGAAGAGAGAGCAGATTTCTTTTTTTTTTCTTCCTGCAACAGGGTTTGAAGAGTGATCTTGTTCTACTTTCTAATACATATGTAAATTAGAGATTTAATATATTCTTAAAAGCTCTTTAGAAATGCATAAGCGTACCTCTAGGAAAGGAATAAACCAAGCTTGTTTTGGCTGGGTCTATTCTTTTTTTTAAAAAAAATTATTTTAATTGTGTTTTGGTTTTTTTTTATACCAGAGAGAATTTGAAATATCCTGGCAGGAACACATTGACTTAAGGAACCGGGGGGAGGCCCCCCCGAATGTTAGTGATTTTGTTCTAAACTCCAATTAAACTTGGCTTGTATCTATTTTTTAGACCTCAGACAAAACTGAGGCCGTGTTATGTGCTAGGTGGCCCAGTGGCTAAGATGCCGAGCTTGTCGATCAGAAAGGTCAGCAGTTCCGCGGTTCGAATCCCTAGTATAGGTCTCCTGCGTGACTAGATGACCTCCAAGGTCCCTTCCATCTCTATTGCTGTTGTTATTATTATTATTATTATTATTATTATTAACCCAAGATGTTTGTGGATATGTAAGGATTCCACTCCCTAATTTTTCCAGTTGTCGGATTGTGCACTATGTACAAATACGAAAACTGCATATACTTTTCTCCGCGCAGGGATGAAAGCAGCCCTCCCGAGCTCTATTTTCTCTGGCAGAGGGTTGCAGGAGGCCATCGCAGCCAAAAACGGAGCTCGGGAGCCCATTTTCGCTAGCAGAGCGCTCGGGCCGCCACAGCACCCCCAACACAAGTGATTTTGAGCTGGCCACACCCACCCTGGCCACGCCCACCCCAGCCCCCTGAGGTCAAACACAACTCTGATGTGGCCCTCAATGAAATTAAGTTTGACACCCCTGGTTTAGAGGTAATCCCCGATTTACACAACCATAATTGAGAGCAGAATTTCCATCACTAAGCAAGACCAGGGCTGAAATGCTACCGGTTTGGGCTGGTTCGCCCGAACCGGTAGTAATAAAAAATGCTACCAGTTCAGGCAAACTGGTGTTTCCGGTTCTGTTTTCCTGCTTTCTAGCAAATCTAAATCGCGCGGCACAGCTGTTCCCCCCCCCCACTTCTTAATAAGGCTTCTTAATCCTTTTTCAGCATTGCGCGGTAGCGCCTGCGGTGTGCATGAAGCGCATTTGGCATGCACTGTGCATGCATGCGTGAAGCAAACCGGTAGCAAAACAAACCGGTAGCAAAGCAAACCAGTAGCAAAGCAAACCGGTAGCAAGGCAAACCGATAGCAAAGCAAAACGGTAGCAAAGCAAACCAGTAGCAAGGCAAACCGGTAGCAAAGCAAACCAGTAGCAAAGCGAACTGGTAGCAGATTTCAGAGCATTTCATCCCTGAGTGAGACAGTTGGACTTTCAGATTTTACAATCTGAAAATGCATCTCAGGAGGCTGGGCAGGTATCAGATGTCCCCCTTATAAAAGGCCTCACCTGTAGGAAGAACAGGTGCTGGGTGATTTCCTGGACCAGTTCTTCTTCTGCATTCTCTGGGTAAAACTTGGCCAGGAAGTGAAAAGTGACCGGTTCTTCCTTTGGGACATCGTGGTCCAACACCTGCAGAAGGATGAAACACTCCAATGAAATTCTTCAAATCTTTGCAGAATTTCTCTTTTATTACAGTCGCCTCTCTTTGGCCAGGTTGGTTTAAAGCAGGGGTGGGCAATTGTGGCTCTTTTACAACCTGTGGACTTCAACTCCCAGAATTCCTGAGACGGGTGAAAACTGCGGGAATCTTTAGAGTCGGTTTTCACCAGCCTGTGCCAATAAGATATAGCCAAATAAACTTGTTCTTGCCTCGGAGTTCTGCTTGCTATGGTTGGATTACTTGGCTATGAGTGGATTACCTGACACATATGGTCTCAGTTCTGGTTATGAAGCCCAGATGGAGGTCCAGACACCCTCAATCCTCTTGTTTTTTTACCACCCGATTCAAATCTCCCTCCACTTTACACCTCTACAGCAAAGTAATTCATGTACCCTGGAAAATCAACTCCTCATCTGTCTGCTACCCCAGAGTGGAAAGTCATCAAAGCGGAGTCAAGGATTTGGAAGTCATGTTCTACCTCTCTCTATGGATCAATACCCATCAGGAAAAAAAAAAACCCAATAAAAGCTCAGCAATCAACACAAGATTCAGGTGTACAAGAACAGGCCTGCTCGCTTACAAGCAATCTGGCATTTTCGAAATGTTTAAAACCGAGTCAACGTTGTGTTATTTTCTGTACATCAACATCACACCCATCAACAAAATGTAATTTTAACGCTCTTCCAGAAGGAAGAGAAAATAGGCTCTCTGGGGAAATGGCTTAAAAAAGAAAAAGTTAAGAGGCACTGAAGTCTATGCACAGGTGCCATAAAGGTTTTTATACGGTCAGTCCTCGGCTTACGACAGTCCATTTAGTGACCGTTCAAAATCACAGCGGCACTGTAAAAAGTGACTCACAACCGTTTTTTCATGCTGCAGCATTCCCCACAATCACATGATCAAAACAGAGAGGCTTGGCAGCTGACTCGTATTTATGACGGTCATAGGGATCCCCAGGGATCACGTGATCCCCTTTTATGTGAACTTTGTCAGCACTTCAAACTACATTTGTTCCAGTGCTGACATAAGGAGGAGAAGAGGGGGCAGCTGGCAAAAGGATGCTTGACTTTTCACCTACTTATTTTCCCTGAAGATAATATCCCCTAGGAGATGGGATGGGAGGGGGGACATTCCTGGGAGCTGAAGTAGTAGATATGGGGAGAGTGATTTGGAAGATGGCCAATGAGACGCAGAGAATTGGGGAATGGAAAGGGGAGGTTTGGGGTCAGGAAGTCAATGTTGGCTTCGATATAATCGGGGAGAGATTGTCGTGCTTAATAAATGAAAGATTTCATCGAAGACTATTTTGTTTGGAAAATGCAATTTATTTGAGACGACATCGAAACCTGACAAACTTCTGATGAGCAAAGTAAACGGAGAAGCCATGATTCACTGAACACCTGCGGCAAGGACAGTCATAAAATGGAGCAAAACCAGGGGTGAAATCCAGCAGGTTCTGACAGGTTTTGGATAACCAGTATAGCGGAAATTCTGAATAGTTCAGAGAACCAGCAAATACCACTTCTGGCTGGCCCCACAGTGGGGTGGGAATGGAGATTTTGCAGTATTCTTCCCCTGCCATGCCCACCAAGCCAAGCCCTAAGACCCGGTGTATATATATGGGTTTTCTATCAAAGCAACCTGATCTACCCAAATATGGGAAGGAGCATACCCGCTTCCTTTCGCCTTTCAGCCTCAATCCAGGAGCCCTCAGGCAGTCGCTTTCACGACTAACTATTTTGTGTTAAATTTATATTATGGCCCAGATTCGAATCCCAGAAGGGTATGGCTAGCTGATGAGAGCTAAATAGCTTGAAATAGATCTATACTTGTCTCCCTTTATTTCTTTGTAAATAAAATTCACCCGACCCACCTCAATCAAAAACAGTCTAGGCAACCATTGCCATGTTTTCTTTGCATAAGAGTTAAAGCTGGTTATTTTCAGATGCTCCCAAAAACACTGACTAATTAGGGAACGGCAGCTGGACAAGAAAGCCACAAGATGCTCGCGGTGACCACGGAAGCCCATTGTCATCGTCGGCAGATGTTTCCAGCAGTACGCTGGGGAGTCTCATTAGTCTGTGCAGACGTGTCCAATTAGAGGAAGTGACACTGAGGGCATTATCCTAATAGGGAATGCCTCGGGGATCAAAGGTCACCCAATTTCGGCTGCTCGAAAACAGACTAAGGTGCGAACCACGCATTCGCTTGTCCTCCAGGTAAGATGCCCAAACCAACCCTTTTGTGATTAGGGTAAACTGACGGTATAATTCTCGGTACAAGTTTTGAGGTGGGGAAATTGGTAAGTTCTTAAATTAGGTAGGCTGTATTTTTTTAAAAAAAAAAGAGAGAAGAGAGAGAGAGAGAATGTCTATGGAGATTCTCAGTCCTCCAGGTCGTGCTTGTCCCAAAGGTGTTTTATATTCAAGAGGCCACTGGACTTTCTGGTTTTTCTTTGAAGACGTTTCGCTTCTCATCCTAGAAGCTTCTTCAGCTCTGACGGGATGGTGGGGAATGGAAGGATTGATACTCCTTGCAGACAGCTGGTCCTTTGCATCCTTTTTAGAGGGTCGTTGAGGCCACTTGGAGAGGTTTATCTGTGTCCTCAGGGTCACCTGAGTAGTGCAAATAGTTCCTGTAGTCTGCTATTTTTTTCTCTAGAAATCCATTACTACTCCCATACCATTCAAAAGGTCTGCTGGTTTGAAAGAGGGGTCAAAGAGGCCATCTATGCCCTCTCTGAACAGGGGGGGAGGGATACGGCATCATCTATCTCCAGTCTACAACACAGTCCTTTCAGCCGTTCCAAGAAGGCTCCCCAACCATTTGCGCCACTATTACTACTATTACTATTAATCTTCTCATCGTTCCTATCACCCATCTCCTCCCACTTACGACTGTATGACTATTAACTTGTTGCTGTATCCTTATGATTTACACTGATTGTTTCCTAGTAGGATTCGATTGCTTATTTGTACCCTATGACTATCATTAAGTGTTGTACCTTGTGATTCTTGACGAATGTATCTTGTCTTTTTATGTACACTGAGAGCCTATGCACCAAAGACAAATTCCTTGTGTGTCCAATCACACTTGGCCAATGAAGAATTCTTTCTTTCTTTCTTTCTTTCTTTCTTTCTTTCTTTCTTTCTTTCTTTCTTTTTCTATCTATCATCTATCTATCTATCTATCTATCTATCTATCTATCTATCTATCTATCTATCATCTATCTCGTATCTATCTATATTATCATCTATCATCTATCTATCTATCCATCTATCTATCACCTATCTATCTATCTATCTATCTATCTATCTATCTATCTATCATCTATCTACCGGTATCTATCTATATTATCAATCTATCATCTATCTATCTATCCATCTATCTATCACCTATCTATCAATCTATCTATCTATCTATCTATCTATCTATCTACCAGTATCTATCTATATTATCAATCTATCATCTATCTATCCATCCATCCATATCCATCTATCTATCTATCTATCTATCTATCTATCTATCTATCTATCTATCTACCAGTATCTATCTATATTATCAATCTATCATCTAACATCCATCTATTGTCCATTCTATCTTATCTATCTATCTATCCCCTGTGCTGGCTGTGTAATCCTGGGAGTTGAAGTCCATAAGTCTTCCCAAGGTTGGAAACCCATTCTAGACATTCGTGCATTTGAAATCCCTTACCTTCTTGTCGGTTTTCAGCCAGGCTATCGTGTCTTTAATCATGTACTGCAGCCCGAAGAACCACGTTTCACGGAGTCCCAATGTCCGGCACACCAGGTCGAAGAGGTCCTTTCCTTTCCATTTCACCTGCACCAGGAAAAACAACGTTAGAAAGTTAGAAGATCCTCTTCTCAAACCAACGTTGCCTTCAGTTTGTCCTCAATTCCAGGTTGCTTCTCTCCTTCATTAGTTTCCATCCATTTGTCTCTTTGTCCTGCCTTCTGGTGCTTTTTTTTTTTTGTCTTCTGCACGACAAGCAAGCACCAGAACATAAGACAAGAGCAAAAACATCTAAGGACAAGAAGCAACGGGTAGAAACTCATCAAGGAGAGAAGCAACTCAGAACTAAGGAGAAATTTCCTGACAGTGAGAACAATTAACCAGTGGAACTCCTTGCCTCCAGGAGTTGTGGATGCTCCAACACTGGAAGTTTTTAAGAAGAGGTTGGATCACCATTTGTCTGAAGTGGTGTAGGGTTTCCTGCCTAAGCAGGGGGTTGGACTATAAGACCTCCAAGGTCCCTTCCAACTCTGTTATCCTGTTAAGGCATGTCCAGGTAGAGGAGTAATTTACAGATATATATCCTTAGGTATGGTGGTGCCCAATGTTTCCAAACGCTTAACAGGAATTTGGTTCGTTCTAAAGGATTAACAAAGCCATTAACTAAAACCAGAGTCATCCAGAGGGATGCAAGACAAGAAACATTGCTTGGGGAAGGGTGAGGTTGGGGGGGTACAATTGCATGGAAACAGAGAAGAAAATGCAAGAGTCCAAGAGCTTGGAAACCAGGCGAGATTCCTCAGCTTTGGCATCACAGTTCCCCCCACCCCACCACCTCTTCAACAGGATCACCTGCAGAGCATCAATATTCATCCCTAAAGGTGATTTAAAAACCTGTTGTGCTTCGGTGTTATTCAATGCCGGGCAGTTGTGATCACACACCGCCCCCTTGCGATGACTTCTGGCTCCACAACGGCAAAGAGAGTGTTCCCGTCTCAGGTCTCCTGCCCACCCACCCCCCAAACACACACTCTCTTTGTTTTTCCTCAGGCCCACCCCCGTGCAAATTCCTTTAGACACAAGGCTAAAGAGTACAGGTTGGCCAGAGTCGAGATGGACAGCAAACGAATCCAATCGAATCCATAAAAATAAAAAAAAGCCTTCGGAAAAGGAGGAGGAGGAGGAGGAGAAGAGGAAGGGGAAAGCAAAAGCAAAAGCAAAAGCGAAAGTGAGAGAGAGAGAGAGAGAGAGAGAGAAAGAGAAAGAGAAAGAGAAAGAGAAAGAGAAAGAGAAAGAGAGGAAGGGGAAGGAGAAGGGGAAAGAGAAGGGGAAGGAGGAAGGAGGAAGGAGGAAGAGGAGGAGGAGGAGGAAGAAGAAGAAGAAGGAGGAGGAGGAGGAGAAGGAGGAGGAGGAGGAGAAGGAGAAGGAGAAGGAGAAGGAGAAGGAGAAGGAGAAGGAGAAGGAGAAGGAGAAGGAGAAGGAGAAGGAGAAGAAAAGGGAGAAGAACTAAGACCAGGAATCTTGGCCCGAAATTCCAACTCTGCAGTAATTTAAGGAGCAATAAAGTCACGGGTTAAATCCTGATCCGAAACCTTCCTAATGGGTTAGAAGAGGGACAGAACTGTAAGGTTCAAGAGCATTCTCACATGCAAAGATGAACCTGCAGGAAAGATGTGGAGACTCTAGAAAGAGTGCAGAGAACAACAACGAAGATGATTAGGGGACTGGAAGCTAAAACATATGAAGAACGGTTGCAGGAACTGGGTATGTCTTAGTTTGATGAAAAGAAGGACCAGGGGAGACATGAGAGCAGTCTTCCTATCTCAGGGGCTGCCCCAAAGAAGAGGGAGTCAAGCTATTCTCCAAAGCACCTGAGGGCAGGACAAGAAGCAACGGGTGGAAACTCATCAAGGACAGAAGCAACTTAGAACTAAGGAGAAACTTCTGACAGTGAGAACAATTAACCGGTGGAACAACTTGCCACCAGAAGTTGTGAATGCTCCAACACTGGAAGTTTTTAAGAAGAGTTTGGACGTTTGAATAGCAATAGCCCTTAGACTTATATCCCGCTTCACAGCCCTCTCTAAGCGGTTTACAGAGTCAGCCTCTTGCCCCCACAACAATCTGGGTCCTCATTTGACCCACCTCGGAAGGACGGAAGGCTGAGTCAACCTTGAGCCTGGTGGGATTCGTACTGCCAAGTTACAGGCAGCCGGCAGTCAGCAGAAGCAGCCTGCAGCACTGCACTCAAACCACTGCGCCACCGCGGCTCTTGAACGGCATAGGGTCTCCCGTGCTTGAGCAAGGGGTTGGGCTAGATGACCTCCAAGGTCCCCTTCCAAACTCTTATCCGCCAGAACATCCCATCCTCATAAACATCAATCCGGGGACCACCGCAAATGCCAAATTCTCTGCAGCTCTCCTCTAATCAGATTGAAGAATTGTGCACAAGTGACTCTTGCGTTTGTACAGAACCTGCCTGTTGTTTTGCAGCACCGGAGGCTGAGTTCAACACTTTGCGCGGTTAAACGGGGGATAAAATCAGTCCGGGGGGAGGGAGGGAAGGAGGAAGGAGGGAGGGTGGACTTAATGTGACACGGCAACCCTGCCGGGGGCGGCTTAATAAACCGCGGCTAAATAAACCACAATTAAGGCCACTTGGTGGTGAACCTCGTCAGCGTGGCGAATGCAAACACCTTCTGTTTTTTGTTTTTTTGCAAACGGCTTCGTTCCGGTTAAGAAGACGGCGAGAAAGCATGAGGATATTTGGATTCATAATTCATCAAAAGAGGCTTGGTTTCTGTTAAGGTAACTCCTCACACCTCTGTAGGGTTTCGGCGATGGTTTCTCCCCCCCAAAAATCTCTCGACTGTCACTGCTCTAAAGATTGACAAAACGAAGAGGCAGGGAAGGATAAGAGGCAGTCCGCGGAATATTTCATCCTTTGCTAAAGGGATGCTCGCAGGAAACACAGGCAGAGGAAAAATTGCCTTTGCGTCCACGGATGTGGACCCCGATGCCCGGAGGAATTGGGTGTTTTCAAACGCCAGCTGTGTCCTTTTGCTAGGAAGGAGGACAGGGAGGGGAAGAGACCCCCCTCCCTTCCTTCCCTCCCTCCGTCTCTGGAATTCAGAGCCCAGCCACTGACTGCAAATGAAGTGCAGCCTTATGTAACCTGGTGCAAAGTCTCTAATGAAGTTCGGGGGGAAAAAACATTAAAATGCTGCAGTTCTCGGGAACGGAGAGAGAGGGGAGGAGGAAGAAAGAAAAATAAAATAAAAAATATCAGGGAAAGCCGTTTGGGTGTTTGCTTCCAACGGCAAGAGCGTTTTCTAAGACGGCTTTCAAAGGCAGACGTCGATCAGCATAGAGCCGGAAGGGACCTTGGAGGTCTTCTAGTCCAACCTCCAGATCAAGCAGGAGACGCTATACCCGTGATGGGGAACCTATGGCATGTGTGGCGGAAGTGGCACGCAGAGCCATCTCTCCGGATACGCCAGCCGTCGCCCGTTGCTGTTCCGGGTTCTGGCGCGTATTCCACGTTCCGGCCAGCTGGATTTCGCGCACGCGGATCGGCGAAAACCGGAAGAGCAGCTCCCCGGTGTACATGCATGCACTGGGAAGGTGATATTCTGGTTTCTGGCGCACACATGCACGGCGGCCAACTGGTTTTCGTGTACGCATGCGTGCAAGTAACCGGAAGACCAGGTGACCGCACACATGCCAAAAACTGGAAGCTCAGCTTCCCAGCACAGGTGCTCCCACACGTGCGCGCCAGAGACTGCTCTCCCAGTGTCTGGTGCTTCCCTGAGCGTGTGGGTGCTCCCGTTCCGGCACTTGGTGCCGAAAAGGTTCGCCAACATGCCCTGTAACATTTCAGACAGGTGTCTGAAATGTACCATTTCTTCCAGTCTTTTCTTAAAAACCTCCAGTGATGGAGCATCCATAACTTCTGGTGGCAAGCAGTTCCACTGGTTGATTGTCAGGAAGTTTCTCCTTAATTCAGGTTGCTTCTCTCCGAAAAAGAAGACTTAAAAAGGTAAATAGAACCGGGGGGGGCAGCTGTGCTGTGTGATTTAGATTCACTAGGAAGCCGGATTTCCTGCTTTCTAGCGAATATAAATAGTGCAACACAGCTGATCGTCGGAAATACCGACGTCGGACGAACTGGTAGCATTTTTTTTACTAATGGTTCGCCCAAACCGGTAGCTTTTATTACTATTGGTTCGCTTGAACCGGTGCGAACCGGTAGCATTTTTCCAGTCCCAAGAAAGAAATTTAACCTTTAATATACTGTATTTTTCGGAGTATAAGACACATCTTTTTCCCCCCTAAAAGGAGGTGAAAATTTAGGTGCGTCTTATACACCGAATGTAGCCCCACCCACTCATTGCCCCCCCTTTGGCCTTTGCCTCGCAGCGGTTTACCTCCTTGCAAGCAAACAGCAAGAAGAAACAGCTTCTTTCAGCTTCAGCACAACCTAATTAGCACAAGTTGATTGGATCGGCCTCCCGACTCTCAGCTGTTTTGCCCAGGGGTCTGCTGCTTGCTGCAAAGATGTAAATTGCTGGAGAAGATTTTTTTTTTCCTTGTGATAATCAAGCTATGCTGAAAACGAAAATGAAAGTAAAGCAGGCTGTTGTTTGCTGCAACCAGGCAAAATTGCTCAGAGACAGAGGGAGATTTCTTTTTCTTCTTTTCCTCACCAAAAAGGTAGGTGCGTCTTATACTCTGAAAAATACGGTCAGTTCCAGGCAACTGACTATCTGTGGGTCTATCGAGGGATTAGACTTTCCTTCTCCCTCTGGACTTTTTAAAGTGGGATAAATGACTTTAGTCCTTCTTTAATTGCTGGGGGGGGGGTTGTTTATTTTTTCCCGTTGGGACCTGCCCAGAAAAATCCAAGCCACTGATACGATAAAAGTACAAATTGACATCGACAATAACAAAAACGGTTAAGGTCCCTTTCTCAATGTAAGGTACGAGCGGTGATTGTAAATCACATTGAGGTCCACGTATTGATTTTGTGTCTTGCTGCTACCACCCTGAACGGATTGAGGACGGGATAACGGAGGCGAGGGACTTAA